CACATCAGCTATCAGTGGGGAGGAGAGCAGAGTAATGAAGCCAATTCATAGATGGGGATTATTAGGAGGCCATGATTGGTAAGGGCCAATGGACGCCAGGGTTACACCCCTACTCTTTTCGAGAAATCCATGCAAACACAGGGAGAACATACAAACTCCTCACAGACAGCACCCCAGGTCCAGATTTGCACCCAGGGCTGCAAGGCAGCAATGCTAAGCACTGTGCCACGGTGCCACCATTTTAATTATCACCCAAGACAAAACAGGTGCGTCATCAGGACATATGTCAATACTTGTCACAAGAAAAAACATGCAGTGTTGAATGTACTAATTTAACGGCGGGTGGACACGCAAAGGATTAAATCTCCAAAACATTACCATGGCTGCAAAGAGTTTTCACAAGGTTTCTTCAAAGATTTGGGTTTACCTCTGGAAAACAGCTGTTGTCGCCAAAAAAGACACTATTTTCTTTTCGACCCTGAGACAACACTAGCGCTCGAATTGGACAGCGTGAAGTGCGATATTGACGGACAGCTCTGGTCAGCTTAATAAATCTCCTCATCGTCTCGCGCTGTGCTGTGTAAGATCTCCAGACATGAGGGCAGTCACCGATGACGTCCATCGCCCAGCAAATTGAGGTGACCGTGCATCCAAAAACCACGTTTAAGTGTATCGAATGTACAGGAGCTTATCCACTGCTGTACTCTCATCCTGTTCACACAACAAAACAATATTTCTTGGGCCAGCGGGAGTGGTTGCCTTAGTATTTGAAGAACTCAATCAGCTCTGGTGTAAACCTGCAGTCCACAGAGCACTGCAATACAGCAGTGGCTCCAGAAGAGATAATGAAACCTTATCTCATTCAACAATCTCTTACCCAGCCCAGTGCAGTAAAAAGTGTGGAACTCTCTTCAATAAAGCTGTTGAACATAAAGATCAGTGGCCCTGAAATCTTATCAGTGCATAAAAAATGTAGACATAGCTGATAGCCTCCACTCTCTGCCATCGGCATGTTTTGAGTTACAGTGCCTCGGTGCTCGGGCAGATCTTAATTCCCTATCCAGGAGCTGCAGCGCTCTCTAACAGAGTTAAAACCTGCTGGATGATCACTAGCAAACTGAAGACAAGCTGCTGATCAGGACTCAATGTACCTTAGCTAGTCGCTGAACTCAAAGTCCTGAGGAAAGGAAGACGAGGTTTGGTGAAAGTTTAGCTGAAAAAGGTGATAACAGTAATGACTTACTGTGTTAACTCCATCGCACCCTCCAGCCCTGGAAAGGGAAAAGGTCAGACAGTGAAATGGCAGGGCTACTGTAGACATGAACTGGGAGGTCTACATGACCAACCAGCTACCCAGCACCAGTTCCCCACCCTGTGCAATAGCCAGAACGAAGGAGGGTCACCACCTTGTGTGCTCTTAATCTTTAATCAAGATGAGAGCTCTCACTGACTGAGCTTTAATGGGACTGTACCTCTGCATTGCCGTTTATAAATGTTTTATCATCGGATTAAAAAAAACGCAATGTCTGCAATAACCATGTTGAATGATATGGCAAGTGATTTTTTGAGTGCAGTTCAGTTCCCGGGACATGTAGACACATACAGTACCGTAGGTATAATGAGAGAGTCTGCTGTCTGTGTGCCCCTGTGTGATCATTAACCCCCCACCTTCCACAGACTGCAAGGACATTACATCTTCTCTTCCCTCTCCCTGGCTGGTGATTAAATCAGTCAAAGTCTACCTTAAAGCTGTCCAGAATCTCAAATTACATGTCAATATGCACAGTACAATGTGAAAAATCCCCCAATTCCTCCAGCTACAGACTCTTCAAATGTAGGGCATGAGTGGCTCAGTGAATTGTAATTAACAGTATGGTAAAAACACATGGCTGATACTGTGTAAAGCTGGTTCCCCATTATACAGAAATTGATTAATTACATGTGAAAGTTATGAATAAATTAACAAAGCTTGTATCATTTCTGGAAAAACTTCCCTTTCCTAAAACACAGGAAAAGCAAAGGAACAACGAAGGAGAAGAGAATGCAGTCTTTCTCCAACACAGTACTCTCCAGAGTGCACCTTCTCACACAATATACTGTAATAATAACATCATAAAATAATAAAATACCCTGCCTGGGCTCTGCAAAGTGATAACTCTCACCTGGCCTTGCATGGTGTAGCTCTGATCTCGACAAACAGCATGACCCAGAGAGCCCAGCAGAGTCCAGCTGTTCCTCTAGACTCGAGTCGTTTTGTCTTCCTGAGCTTTTGGGGTCAGATTTTGACTAGGCAGCGCTGGGCTAGGTCCCTGCAGACCGTATGTACACACTCCATCAGTCTCATATTACCCCTGCTGACTGACTGTATGAGGCATAATTACCAGCGTCTTTCCCCCTCGCAAATGACAGTGGCTGAGTGTCTCAAATTCGGGTGACTTTCAAGGAGTCATATATTGGTCCCTCTTAACATAAAAACAAGAGTCATCACAATCAGCGAGCCTGCTGAGAGCTTAACAGGCTCTAAAATTATCTTCACACAAATGGATCTCACTGTGTTTCAGACTATACTCTTGCAAAGGGAGAATTTACCAGACCTCAGAAAGTGTCATATACTGCTGACTGGCTCTCATTAAACTTCAAGTTCTGACATCTTGCTAAACTTCAAGTTAAGGAAGTCCAGTGGTCCAGTCCATAACAGCTGCATAGTGCTACATTAGCTGAAACTGTTTTTAATTCAATCTAATTGTAATACAAGAGCAATGTGTTGCAAAATCAGTACTAATATTAAAAAGAGCATTCACTTAAATACAGTGCCTGTTGCTCTCTTAATCTTTGTATTCTTCATGAGTTGAGTACTTTTTACACCTTGACTGGACCCCTGGCAGAATAAGACCTGTCCACCTGTCCAGAAAAGACCTAGCCACTTTCACAATTCTGAAATTTCACCTCATTTTTGTTTTCAGTAGAAAATATGCAGTATGACTGCACACAGTGGATTATATCCTATCAGCTCAAGAGATAACGTTGAACATGGTTAGTTTTGCAAAACCAACAGGGATAGCCTCAGAAAAATAGGAGCAGTTGTCCGTTTTCTTTCCCACTTCAATTAAAAACTTAAATTCTTACTTGATTTGTGAAGTATACTAACATATTACCTGGATGTGTTGGTAACTTCTTTACGTTAATGCGTATATTGGACTGGAAGGTATAGTAGATGCAATAATATTTCTGCAATATTTTTGGCCTTTTTCCTTCTCTGGAAAAACAGTCTTTAACACACAAATCTTGAACTAATAATCCTTCGAATATTTACAAGAATCCTTCAAACATTTACTGTACATGCTAAGGACTGGAAATCGTAATGATTCCCAGTAACATGAGTTGAGCCGTCCCATAAAATAAACCACTTCTGTCGAGGTTTCTAATCACATGATCTTTGATTATTGACCTTTGATCTTGTTACAGTACAAAAGGTCAGCAAGAAGAGAGGCGATTTCAATATTACAATTGAGAAATAATGAGAATATGAAGTGTAGCGAGTGCATTAAATAATAGTATTTCCTTACATGCAAAGTCAAAATAAATTATCAGCATCATACGTTTCTTACTTTAACTCCAAATGGTTGTGGTGACTATTTGCATTATGCATTATCAACAATGCTTTTTTTAGTTTTAATCAAATTATAATGCCTTTGAAATATTGAGGTGCTGGGCATGAAATCTTGCATGGAGCACATCATGTGCTGCAACACTTACAGGCCTGCTTTCCATTAATTCCTCAGTCACAGGGGATATAATGTTTGCAGTAATTAAAAACCAAGACATGTGCCAGTATGTTAGCTTGCCCTCAATACAACGTTATTGCACTACAGGGAAACGAGTGTAGGGCTCACCATTACCAGATTATGCCACCTCTGACACCACGGGGCCACTTAACTGCACTGACTCATCTGAAAGTTCAGAAATCCAATTTTAGGAAGCACTGCAGAGGCAGCAGATGAAATTAAAAAATAATTAGACAAGCTGCAAGACGGGGAAAACTTGTTACTAATAAAAACAACTTGGGTGTTAAAGTTAAGGGACATCACCTTATAATCGTATAAATCACTAGTCAGTATCATTTAAAATATTCCTGGCTTGGTTTACAACTTTCTTAAAAAACATATTGCTGCTCTGATGTCCAGAGAAAAACAACCAGATATTTTCTGTGACTGAAAGGAATGTCCTACAGAACTACAGTACGCTGACAGGATGAGGAAAATGGAAACGTTTTAGACTTGAACAGAAAAAATGACTGGGGAACTGTGTTTAAAATACTCAAGGGCATTAAGAGTGTAACACAGACCAAGGGGGAAGCACATGGAGGTATATTTAAAATGAACAGAACACAAGAACATGTCATTACACAAAGAGTTGTGGGAGTGTGGAACATGCTACTCAACCTCACTGTTGACATTTATACCCAGAACTCAAGAAATGTCCGGATGAGCAATTCACTATGAACTACCCAGCAGGCTAGGTGGGAGAAATGGTCTTCTCTATTTCCTTATATAACTGTATACAGCAAACCACAGCCAGAAATGGGGTGCCAGAAGAAGCTGATCTAGGCACTGTAGGCCAATGGCTCTCAGCTCAGGATAAGACCTATACTGTATCAGCCCATGTTTAGCTAAACACTTCTGATCCAGACATGTAAAGGAAAAGAGTGCCCAGGGAATTTATAAAGAGAGCCGCTGTATGTAGCATTAGGGCAGAGAACTAGCAGCACTGAAAACAGACATCAATGAGTGCAGCACACTGAACCGCCATTATACTGCAGCTTGGGCTGGGGCTATCTAATTATCAACAACACGTCCAAGAAATGTACTGGAAACCACTGGAAAAGAAAACAGAAAAGGTCTGCAGTTGGATTAAAAGACAACATTTAAGTACAAAAACAAAGATAAACCCCAAAAGTCAAAATGAAATATTTAAACAAACAACTGTGGCGTATCTATGGGTTCTGGGCAACCTGAAGTGCATAAACTGCCGAGGCACTCAGGGGCAAAGGTTATTTTACAGGACTGCACTATTCACCATGGAGCTTGAGACCACAGCTATGGAACAAATATGCAGTTTTGATTACTTTGGCACTCCACTCGTCTGAGAATCCCACTGTCACAACAGCAGCCGAAGAGAACAGAACCACAAGGATGCCACTCCCCCACTGTCATTAACCAATGATATCGCTCCCCTACTCTCGTTAACCAATGATGTCGTTCAGCCGCCTTTGTTAACCACTGAGGTCACTCTCCGACTTTTGTTAATCGATGAAAGAGCATAATAAAAGCTTAAAGGCAGGAGCAAAGGGCCGGGAAAGAATGCAAGTTGTGAGACGGACAGTTGCGATGACCGAATGACCCGTACAATGGGCAGAGGGATAGGACAGTCCAGATGCCCTGCATACAATACGCTGCACCTGACTGAAGCCTGTTCCCATGTACTTCCCAAACAGACAATGCAGGGAGGAAGGTAACAGACGTAAAAAAAGACTCGGACACGAACAAGAGGGAAAAAAAAGCTAACTGCATCAATTGCTTTCTTCAAACAACAGCAAGAGGAGTGCGATGGTGATGAAGTGATATTGCAGTGGAGCTCACCTGTTTTCTGTTTCATGGGCTGCTGCTGCACTGGAGAGTGGACCTTCGGCAGGAAGACAGCAGAGGTTCAAGGTGCAGAGGCCTGGGGCACTAAAGGAGAAATGGAAAAAGTGGTTTATCTGTAACCTGGGCTCCTCCTCTCCTCCCCGCCAGCTTAATGTTTAATCGGGAGGCTGAGGCAATGCAAGCGCACCACCGAAGGAGCTAGTGGCTTTCCCCCTAACCAGCCCACACCACGGCACAAGGACACAGCATCCTCCAGCAACATGCCCAGCACTGCAGCCGGGTCCCTCTGTGGGTCTGACGCGAAGAATAGCAAACGCCATCTTAAAGAATCTTCCGCCCTAAGAGAAGATCAGATCACCTTATTGGCCATAGACAATTTCTTGCATTAGGAATTTGTCTTTTCGCAGACCCCAGCTTGCTCTCCATGAGACACACAGACAGGAAGAGAAGCTTGGGGTCAGAGCGCAGGGTCAGTCTTTTATACGGCGCCCCTGGAGCAGCTGGGATGAAGAGCCTTGCTCAGGGGCCTAATGGAGTAGGATTCCTCTGCCGGCCGCGGGATATGAACCGGCAACCTTCCAGCCACAGGCACAGATCCTTAGCCACAGAACCTCCGCTCCACCCCTAAGGGGTAAAGTACACAACAAAGAGCTGTCACTGCACTCTACCAGAGGAGCCGGCTAGAGTTCTCCTAACATCACGTCACGTATTCTAGCCGAGCAGCAAATGCAATACATGTCCGTGCTCGTCTGTGCCAGATTTTCAAAGGAGAAACAAACTAGGGGCCAGAGAGGAGAGCACCTCTAAGATAGATCTCTGCAATGTAAACTGTTACTGTACGTAAATCCCTGCACTCTTTCAGGCCTCAAACATACCACACATGCATGCGAGTCTAGGAAAATGCTTTGCCACTTGAATAGGAGCTTAATTCCCATCTATAATGAAACCGTTCGTGGCAGTGACCCTCTTGTTTTTGTACAATACCGAAACTCTCCACTTTCCTGCACAGGTGGTTGGTTCTGGAAGAAGGGGCCTCCAGAGCATTTTCGTTGGTTCTGCTGTCTGCCGCTCTGATAGCTAAAGGGACGGACTGACTGCCTTCTTGGTCTTGAACATGAAGGAAGTGATTCCCCTCCCTCTTCAAAATCAGAAAGCTGTTTCTTCCTAGCAAGGAATGCGCCAACCCAGATCCATCCTAGAAGCACAGGAACAACGCTATGGCTAGGTTGCCAGTCCAGCACAGAGCCTGGCCCACACAGGGGCAATCGAGTAACACTAGGGAAGGTAGCCAGCACGAAGGAGGGAGAACACCAGAGCAACTAGAGAAAACCCTGGTGAGCACAGGAAGAACATGCAAACTCCACACAGAAAGCACCCTGATCCAGAACTGAACTTGGGGCCTGTCGGACAATTCTGCCACCTCTCACTTTCACTTGTAACTCTAAGAAGAAATGAGCACCCACATCAAAAAGGAACACAAATATATTTTATTAATGTACGTTAAAACAAATACCAGACAAAAAAACACAGAAACCCTTCTAATGTTTTTCCCCTGACAATGTACAGTCTATGACAAAGCACACATGCTATGACGTATTTCATTAGCAATGTCTTTAAGGCCCTGTTGAACTTGCAGCTCAATACATTCTACAAGGTACAGCTCAGATATTCCTGTGTTCACTTTTCAGGGTCAAGAAAAACAGTCTGTTAGTTCATGATTGCCTCTTACAGCTCTTTAAAATGGAAAACAAATGTTTCCAAAAAACACCCAAACACTTTTGAAGACAAAAAAGTTAGACAAAAAAATCCCGTTAATTGTAGCAAAAGGATTGTATTAGTAATGATATTGCTTTATGTTGCATTTCTGAAGCTAAGGGAAAACCCTCTCTGGTAAGTAAACCAGAAACGTGCGGTAGACACAAGTGTGCAATACATGGGCTAGCCACAAGAGGGCACTCCTGATAAGAAATATGAATCCAGTCAAACGTGAGACTGACCGTTGTGTCCAGTCTCATTTTTTGTAATTGCTCATTAAAAAATACTATCCATTAGAACCACAAAAACTGCTTTTAAATAATATACATAATATTAGGTGATATGGTACATCAGAATGATGCCAGTTAATGAATAAAACTATATGACTGTTAGACTTTTAAGATATTAGGAATTTAATACCAGAGAAAGATGCTTTTTTCCCCATGGCATCAGCACTTGTTCAAAAGACCCTGGGTTTTGCTGGACTTATACGAATACACACTGTTTTCTACAGCGGCTGTAGATTCTGATGGTAATTGTTACAACAATTAAAAAATAATTAATACATTATAAATAACGTTTCATTTCTTGAATGTTATTGCTTTTCAGCCACACCCTGGCGACTACAAAGTTTTTTGTTCTTGCAGTCATATTCAGTTACATCCTGCTGGAAGACCTGTATTTGCAGGTCACAAACTGCTCCGTCCACTGCTGCCCTCCAGTGGCGAGACTGGGAACGCCACTGCCCTGCTCTGACGGGAGGCAGCAGAATTCCCCATCTACAGAAGCTCACCAGCATCACAACCCCGGGCACAGAAAACCAGGATCCGAAAGTCGGGGAATTAATTCAAGAACTAGAAATAGAGTGAAAAACTGATTCATTCTTGTCTGTGTAACAAACACTTGTTCTCTTTCAGTTTACCTTCCTGAGCCTTAACAATGTTGCATGGGACACATAGCCAGACCACTCCTACAAGAAGACACTGATCTGCTTAAAAAACATCCAGGGTTCATTTGGCATCTTGACATCTTTCCATTCTGAATGGGCACAACGATGATATTACTAACGGGTTCAAGTGAATTTATCCGATGTGCAATGTTGCTTTATTTCCAGTTATTTTTTCATCACGAAGGCACAGTGCATCCTTTTCCCAGACAGCAGCACAGTGCTTCTGCAGTCTTTGGGACAATTACAAACGTGCAACACCACAGCAGTGTCAAAGGGTGCAGCAGACACATCCTCTTGTAGATAACTGGCGCGTTCCACCTGGATTCATCTGAGAAGAGGATTCCTTCGATGCAAAGCAAAGCAAAAACCAAATTCTCTCCCCAAAAACATACAGTACGCGCAGATTTTACAGCTTGCACACAAGATTACAACGTACCAGTATGGTCCAAGTCACCCTGAAGATATATAAAAAGGGACTGAAGCCCAAATGTGTAAATGATAAAAGATAATTCTTTAGATGCTGTCATTGTGGGAATCATCAACAGAAACTACAAGGAAGAGCATTTAAATCTGAAAACACCTTTTTTTTTTACACAAAGGAGTGCAGGAGTATGGAGCAAGCTGTCCAGCCATCTTGCTGCATCCAGTATGGCTGGATGAGATCTTCGGATCATTTAGGCAATAATAAAAAATGGAGCCAGATGCTCAGAATGAACCCCTCTCACTTGTCACCCTTCCTATGTGCTTATATCTGTGCTCCCAGTTAGTAGCATCTGTTTGCTGAGTCCCACTGAGAACTTGGAAATATACAGACTCACTCAAATATTGAATCACCTGGGGCTGAAGCCCATCAAAAAAACAATCTGTGACCATTAGATACTTTTGGGTCACTAGTATTGCAGTTCTAAGGATGATGATAATAATATTACCAATGCTTCTGATCCTTAGTGTCAGTAGAGACATATTCCACAGGAGAGGAGCAGAGGAAGAAATCTGTCAGGCATAGGCTCAGTCCCAGGTGAGGGTTTAAGGCACTGGCTGTTTTTTTAAGTTTCCTTAAATAAAATCATGCCATTTTCTGCTTAAAATGCACATGCTACTATTTATTCTTATGCTACACGTTTTGTGTCCTATGGACGCCAACAGATTATTCACCTGAGATGAAGAAGGCAGGCACAAGGCTTTGATACTGCATATCCAGTTTGTGCAGCCTTTCAGTACTGCAATGCTGTGCTCCTGCAACATACAGCAGACTTAAGCATTTGAAATGCTATAGAGAGGAAACAGCATCATTGAATTTGCCTTTTTGTGCAGCCTTGACTCCGGTTAAGGAGCACTCTAAATAATTAAAGGAATCCATTTAATGTCCCAGGAGCATCTGATAAGGTTAGGAAGCAGTCCTTGGTCAAAGAGGGAGAGGACCCTCCTGTATCCAGTTTGATTCAGAAAGCTGGCTGAGCTACCCGAGAGGAGTTGGCATGCATGGTCTGTCTGGTAATAGAGTTGTAGTTCCCACCCCAGCCCACTAGGGGGCGCCCCGCTCCAGCATGCGCAGCGTCTGCTTGACGTCCCTCTCCACCCTGCGGAAGTACAGCTTCTTCGCCAGGCTGCGCGTCTGCCTCCGGCCCCCCTCCAGGTCGCGCAGGAAGAGCAGCAGCTGCTCCCGCACCCGCGGCCTCTCCCAGGAGGTGCAGTTCTGGCGGATGATGCCCAGGATGGGGTGCCAGTCCTCGGAGAGCTCCCCGCCCTCTGTCACGGAGGCCAGCACCTTCACCCGGCGGCTGGGCCCCTCGCCCCGCTGGGCCCGCGCGTGCAGGGACTGCTTCCCGGCCTCGCTCAGCTGGTTCAGGTACAGGCTGCGCGGGGAACAACACAGGACCAGGCTCAAGCACGGCACCCTCCTCTCCTGCCCCCTGGAGGACGGGAGTGAAACTGCAGGGGAGCGTTTCCCACAGCCATCGGAAGGCATAATTACACACATGTCCAGAAAACGACATTTATATTTATTCCGAGAAATATTTCAAGTAGGTCGCTACGTCAGCGTGCGTAGGCCGCAAAGGAACAAGTAAAGTTTTATTCCGTGCTGGAAAGAGAGGAAAAGAAACACAATGTTTCGGGTGTGAATGCACACCCCGACCTACACCCAAAGAAGGCTCCACAGCTGAAACGTTGCGTTTCTTTTCTTCTCTTTTCAGCACGGAATGAACGGAAGCAGAGGAGGGATTTGTGTCGTTCATTTTACCTGGTAACTACAAGTTTGTAATTACTGTTGTGTGAGTTGATCAGTCATTTCAATTAACTAAAACAAAGTGATACATTAGTTCATTAATTAACAAACTGTATAAGGGAGGGGTACTTATGTTTTTTTTTAAACAGAACCACTTTAGAGGTTTATAATATGTATTTCAGTTTATTTTCCAGCTATTTTTACTCTTTGCAAATCAGTTTCACGTAGAGGTTATTCTGCTAACTTCTTCTGCCTCTACTAATTATTGAAAGTGGTGTTGCCGGCACTCGAAAGAGAAACGATACAGTGTGCTGTGCGGCTAGCTCTGCCCTGTTCCCTGAACGCCGTGCTCAGGCGGCCGTACTCACTGAACAGTGTTGATAGTGGGGTGCTCCCGGCAGGTGTCCACCAGCTGCACCGCGGCGCTGTCCCCGATGGCGTTGTAGGCCACGTTCAGCTCCTCGAGGCCCTTGTTGTCTCTCAGACGCGCCGCCAGCTCCCTGGCACCCCCGTCCCCCATGCCGGTGTGCATCAGGGAGAGGTGGCGCAGTGAGCGGTTCTCGGACAGCGCCTCCAGCAGGCAGCTCACCCCCGGCTCCAGCAGGGAGTTATCGCACAGCCTGCAGCGACAGAGACGCGCGACTGCCTCTCCGTTTCTCTCCAGTTCTCAAATTCTAGAAACGGCACTGAAGCAGCACACCGGCACGGACGATTTACTATAAATCATCCATGAGGATCAGAGTTGGCTTAAGACCTTTTTTATCAACAGGGAAATCTAAGGATGAATTCAAGTCAGATTTAGTGGGCTTCTTCGTTTTCTTTCTGCTTGTAAGAGCATTCTGAATTTTTATCAACTCAGCGCAGGATTTTGGTGTTCGTGGGCCCTAGGCACTTTCACTCCAAAATGTGCAGAAAGAGGGGTCAACGCCAATGGAATTACGTCGATCTGACATGACGCACTTTAAACTATTCGAATGCTAAACCACGTGATTGATGGAGTGACCATCACTTCGATCCTTCTAGTTTCTAGAACAGCCACTAGGAGAGCGTATGATTATTGATTTGGAGTACTGTATGTGGTTTCAGCTTGTTTTCGTTAGTCACTAGTGTTTCCCTCCTTCATAGGCCCTAAAAATGTCCTGATTTCCTGGGCACTGGATAAATTCTCATAAAGTATGCCCTTCGAGTGTGTTCACAGTGAAAAAAACTTCAGTCCTGGAGGATTTTAAATTTCCTGCATGCTGTGGAAAGTGTTCGCTCGAATCACATCGACCACGACTACCTGCATCCCGAAAATTTGTTTCAGTTTCAGATGCCACTTCTCTGTTCATTTCTCTACCCTCCCCGCCAGTTATCCCATAACGGCTGCATAAGGAAGTAAAAAGAAGGAAGGCCTTACCGCAGGGTTCGAATTTGGCAGCGGCTGTCCAACAGGAGCTCCTTCAGCTGCGGGCAGGCGTCCGGGCCCAGGTTGTTAAACTGCAAACTGGAGCCAGACGGGAAATCAGAACACCAGCACAGGCTTGTGGGTAACCAAAGGCAGGACAACACACACTTCTGAGTTCTACAACGCACACTCTTTGAGCTTCAACACGGTACGACTGTGTGTTTCTAAACAGCATACAGCTCATTAAGAATGAAAAAAAAGACACTTACAGATGCCTAAGATCATGAAAGTAAATTTTAAAAGCTATGTAACATAAAGTACACAGGCAGCAGGTGTAATGCAAGGTTTTGTATTCTGCACTGAAATGTTTTTTTTTAACATACTGTATTCTACATGTACTGTATACTAAGCATAAAAAAAGGTCAGTGAGTTCTCCCCATTTCCTTCGACAGATGACATCTGCAATGCTAGCAAAGACCAAAAAAAACCAATACTGAGCCTGTATATTTGTGAATTCAAACACTGACCTCGATTTGCTTTTCCTTATATTCCAAACTGAAAAGCACAACCTGCAAAATGCTGGAATGACCTTTTAAAATACAGCGGTGTTAAAGCACTGGTAGCTCGCACTGAAGAGTAAATAAAGCAGGGTTTTTGAAACCGCACGGCAGTTTCATCTTTTGCTGCGCACGTGACACAAAGCCTGCCTGGTTTTATTGTCAAACAAGGACTGAACCAGAATAATTGGAATAAGTTGTCGAGGCAATTAGGGTGTTACTCACTGGTGGAGCAAACCAGCTGATTCTTACTGGGACAGTGTGTGAGTGGATTCTCTACTCACTTGAGGCTGCGGGCGCGCAGGAGGGAGGGGCCGAGGGTCTCCAGCAGGTCCTTGGTCAGGTGGCAGGAGGACAGGTCCAGCTCCTTCAGCAGGTGCTTGGAGGGGGCGCAGCTCAACACGCAGCGCAGCACGTAGCACTTGAGTGGGGTCATGCGCACCCGGGCCAGGCTGATGGCTTTGAGGGAGCCCAGCACCTCGGCCGTGAAGCGCGGGTTCTGGAACTCGTAGAGGAAGAAGAGCAGATCCATCATCTCCTCGGGGGGCTGGTGTTTCTGGCTCTCCTTCACCAGGTTCTTCTTCAGCGTGCTGGTGATCTGGGCCACCGCGGTGCTCTTGATGGTGCACCCCAGCTGGTCCAGGAGCACCCTGTTCCCGTAGGAGAGGAGGCCACCCATGAAGACGGGATAGAGCTCAAAGGCCTCCTTCTCCTGGCGCTCCTGTGGCAAGGGGCCCTGCACCCCCAGGACGCTCTGCTCCACCTGGTCCAGCACGTCGGCATTGAACTGGTCCTCCTTGCGGAACATCTCCGCCGCCATGGTCCGGGCGATCCGCCCCTTGCCGTGCCCGCTGACGCGGCGGTACAGGCTGGGAAACATCTTGAGCAGGTTGAAGATGGCGAAGATCCTCAGGGGGAGGAACTTGGACAGGATGTTGAGGAGGCTGGTCAGGTCCTCGCTGGCCTGCCCGATGGCCTCCGAGGCCTGCTTGCCCAGTTTCTCCAGGACCGTCTTGTTCTCGCCCAGCACCACGTAGAGGGCCGCCAAGTACTCCTGCATGGCGGGGATGGCGAACACGTAGCGGGTCTCTCCCACGTCCTCCCCCGGCCGGGAGCTCCCCACGTAGGGCACCAGGAAGAAGTCCAGCACGTCAGTCTGGAAAACCGCCAGTTGCCGGAGCTCCTCGTCGGTCTTGGTCTTGCCGCCAATCCACTGCTCCAGCTCCTCTTCGGAGAAGCACGTGCGCTTGTAGTTGACACCGTCGAACGCTAGCTTGCCCACCGTCTGGGCCACGTAGTACATCAGGGAGCTGCCCTGCTGGTCCTCCGAGCCCCCCGCCCCACCTAGCCTGCTGCTTGCCTCCAGGACCTCACCACCAAAGTTGAGCCTCAGGAAGCTGGTGTAGATGCCGGTGAGGGTGCGGATGGGCGCCTTGGCGTCTGTGAAGTGCAGGAAGTGCAGCGTGGCGCAGGTGAGCCAGCAGTAGGATGGTAGGAAGCAGGCGGCCGCCAGCTGGCTCTCGCTCTGTAGATTGAGGTACAGCATACGCAGCAGAGCCTCTGCCTCCTGGCTGGGTTGCTCCCCGCTGGCATGGTGCAGCAGCCGACTGGTGAAGTACGCCCTCTGCTGGTCGGGGTTGTTAAAACCGCAGATCTGCACGTAGCGGTTCACGTACTTTCCCGGGATGCGATCCAAGGCAGAAAGCCTGGTGGTGACTAGAATGCTGGCCTGAAGAATCAGAAGAATCATACAAGTATGACTACATACAACATACTGTACGTGAGCATGAGCTCTTATTTGCGGCTTCCTCTTTGACAAGTCTCAGATGCTAAATATGCAAATAATAATATCAGAACTGGTTATAGAGGAACTCTTCATAGCAACCTGATCAAACTACAACCACCTGATTACTGCTTATCTACAGCCAATCTCTCTGGAGAAGCAGGATTAAAGCTTTTAGTCCTTTTTTTGTCAACTGCGCCACTTCCAGAGGCAATTAAATATGCAATTTTCCTATAGTCGGTCAATAGAGAAAATGAGACCCCTTAGCCATTTAAAGCTAGAAAAAATTGCTTCAAAAGTCTAACGTGATTTTGCCAATTCAAATTGTCTTGTAACAAAACGGCACAACACGTGCCATCCTCGAGACTGGTATTCACAGGGCACTGATCCTGCCCACTCACCTCGGGTAAGAGATACTTGCGAAACAGGTTGACCAAAATGGTTCCGGCAGGGAGGGGCTCGTCTGGGTCAGCGCAGAGCTCGGTGGTGGAGAGGCGGAAGTCCAGCTTCATCTGCTCCATGCCGTTGAAGATGAAGAGCACCTGTCGGGCCAGGGCGCCCTCTCCGCTGAGCAGGGGGGTGTCGCGCAGGTGCAGGTACTTCCTCCTCACCAGCTGCCGGAGCGAGGCCGGGCGGCCCAGCAGGGAGAGGTCCTCGCAGGAGAAAGGGATCACCAGCTCGAACTGGGACAGCGCCGACCCCCTGCACCAGTCCAGGACCAGCTTGCGCACCACCATGCTCTTCCCGGTCCCCACGCTGCCGTAGAGAACGACGTTGTGCCCGCGGTCCGTGTAGGACCCGGGGACGGGATCAAAGAGTTGCTCGGTTGTCAAGGAGGACTGGTAATCGTTGACTCCGACGTCCTTCATCCAAGTGTCGACGTTCTGGCTCTCCTTGGGGTTCCTCTCCAAGATGAGGGGGTCAACGTGCATGCTCTCCGGAGAGAAGAGCACCCCAAACTGCTTCTCCTCCTTTGGTAGGTGGCTGAACCACTGGGTCAACTTCTGCTTGTGAAGCAGAATCGGGTCTGCGTGCACAACAGGAAATATGATGGCAGGAAATGCAAACCACTTCCACCTTTCTCTAGTTTCTCGTGAAGTGAAAAGATTTAAACATTGTGACCTCTGCGTTAGATTGCTCTCTGCATGCCAAATGTATCTTCAGCAGAAATCTTTGAAGTGCCGCTGGAAATAGCGGGAAGCAAATATCATTTTTTCCTGCACGCATCCAAGCCGATGCACTTTCTCAAAAGAGTCGTCTTGCATTTTTGTATGGACCATTTACTAGAGAGCAAGAAAAACAACCTAGAATCTTCCTAGGTATCCGACGAATGAAAAATGACCCGAGACATCCTCCTGGTCCACATGTTTAACAAATTTGAGCTAACACACTGTGCCGTCAATGTGTGACTGGTGTTACTGCTACTGTGGAATCCCCTTACAGCGCAACCCCAGTCATCATTCCCACAATCCAAATGAACACAGCCAGCACGCTTAGCAACGAAGCCAGGGTGTGTGAGGAGCAACAGCAATAGTGTTGCTTTCCACATATGTTTGCAGTTAATCAGAGCCCCATGCTCACCTGGATTAGAGGTGCCGGAGCTGAACGGCCTCATCTGTGACACAGAAGTGAGAAAAGAAGGACTGTCTCTCTGTCGGCTCCACTGTCCTCCTGCGGGACACAGATGTCTATAGACGAAGAAAGCAGGAAATGAGTGTATTTTATGAAAAGGCCTTCCAACAGGGAATTTTCAAGGGGCACATGGCAGCTCTTAAGATAACTCAAGTTCCTTCATGTTCCAAGTCTTAGAACTGCTGCAGGCTAAACGAAACTAGAGTAGGAAAGTTCATCCTACAAAGCCTAGAACAAAATCCTTCAGCTAGGACCTGCTAATCCACCGGGCCAAATCTGTACCACTGGGGTGATGAATTTAAAAGGGGTCACTTCTGCTACTTCATAACATTAGGAGTATTTTTTAGCATAGCACACAAATAGTTAACATGTACTAGGATTTGTAAAGCCCTGTAAGGCTCGTTCACAAGAAAGAGAGAAAGTTTTTATCTCACCTGTGGTGGATAGTAGACACATGTCTCCCATCAATCAGAATATAGACTTTACTGGACCGGCTGCTCACTTTCACTCCTGTGTCAAAGAATAAACAACTTTTTTTAGCCAATTTAATGAACGCAATGCCTGAGAAATTAAACCAATGGCAGGAACTACGGGAAACGTCCTACCTCGACCCCAGAAAGAGACATGATCTCTATACAGGATGTCCTGCCACCCCCTACCCCAGCTCCTCATCATCTCTGGGCCTGGGGCGCGCCACCAGCGCTGCAACGTCCCGCTGAGTTCACTACTGCCCCCTGCAGAGAGAGCACATCATCACAGCCCACTCCCAAGCACAACAACCCAGGAAACAGGATTAAGGGGAGATTAACCCTGCAGCCAAGAAAATCGAGTCCAGGAAAAGTTTTAAGTTCCTTCATTAAGTGCACTAACGAAGTGCTTCGAGAGGCTGGTGATGGTGTACGTTGACACATTAACAAGGACAATCTTGATCAACTTCAATTTCCATACCGACATGATAGCACTTAAAAGCATTACACACTGCTTTGGCTCATTTAGACAATATAAACACCTACCCCAGATTACTATTCATAGACTACAGTTCTGCATTTAGTACTATGATCCCATCCCAGTTAGTCACCCAGCTCTTGGAGCTGGGCCTTAGTACTTTGCTCTGTAACTGGATCCTGGACCTCCTGACATCTAAACCTCAATCTGTGAGAACAACAACATCTCCTCTACTCTGATCCTCAACACAGGAGCCCCCCAGAGCTGTGTGCTCAGTCCCTCGCTCCACTCCCTGCTCACTCATGATCGTGTGGCTAGACACAGCCTCAACTCCATCTTTACGTTCTATACCACCATTGGAGGCTCGGTGATGAAACAGAGTACAAGAAAGAGGTAAAAGGGGAACTATAACACTATTTTTATATACTGGGGTTAGAAAGAATCAGCATTGATGAGGGCATTTCAAACCACTGTGAAAGTAAAATGTACACAGTAACGTGTAAAACCTCTACTTTACATTACAAAATATACAAAATTTCCAGGTATGTGCAGCGTCAAAGGCAACTAGACTTCTGGTGAAGTGAAGCAGGCTTGTGAATACATCTCTCTTAATGCAACAGAAATATTGCTCTTGACTTTGAGACGGTTTTGCCAACAAATACAACTTACTTGTTAACTCTTAATGCAGATCACGTTGGAACACTTCAGTGAAATGTCTGCTGCACAACCTCTACTTATTTGCTCGAACATTAGTCATTACAGCGACTAGTGAGCAGGAAGGGCCACTTCACGTTGCAATGTGCACAAACTCTCGCTCTCGTCCGTGGTGAGACCAGGGTTTTTTCGGCAGCATGGCGACTGCCCAGTACGGAGAGGAATCCTGGAGCAGTTGGGGTTTAAGGGCCTTGCTTAGGGGGGGCGTATAATAGGCTGACCCTGCGCTCTGACCCCAAGCTTCTCTCTCCCCGTCCGTGTGTCTCATGGAGAGCAAATTGGGGTATGCGAAAAGACAAATTCCTAATGCAAGAAATTGTGTATGGCTAATACATGATTTTGTGCTTATTTCAGAATTTGTCAAATTTTGCAACACCGTCAATTAATTTATTCTGTTGCCAAAATTTAATGACCGGTATAGAATTTGGGACTGCAGTTCTCCTTAAAGGACTTGGTGGTATGGTGCCAGGACAATAACCTCTCCCTTAACCTCAGCAAAACTAAGGAACTGGTTGTTCATTTCAGGAAGCAGGGAAGAGGAGGCCACACCCCTGTCTATATCAATGGGGAAGCTGTGGAGATGGTCAGCAGCATTAAGTTTCTGGGTATTTACATCACCAACAATCTGACCTGGTCTCATCATGTGGATGAAGAAATCACAAAAGCACTCCAGCAACTCTGCTGCCTCAGGCAACTCATGAGATTCAGTACGTCTTCACAAACACTTACACATTTCTACAGATGTACAACAGAAAGCGTTCTCACCGGATGCATGACAGTTTTTGTTATGTCAACTGCTCAGCTCATGTCCACAGAAAACCACAGAAGGTGGTGGAGACAGTCCAGCACATCCCTGGTACAGAATTCCCTTCCATCCAGACCATCTGCACCACACGCGGTCTCAGGATGGCAAACAATATAATTCAGGGTTAAAAACCACCCTGGGTATGCACTGTTCTCTCTTCTTCCTTCTGGCAGAAGACTGAGGAGTATAAAAGCTTCTATCTCATAGTCATAAGACTTCTGAACACCACCTCTCAATCCTCTTACCCTCACATTACACCCTACTGCTTTCTGAACTCGCAATACTACTTGTTTTTTTGCACATTGCTGCTAATTAAATGCTGCTGAAGATTTCAGTTGTTACCCTTCTAATGTATAGTCCATTGCTCCTATTGGGTTCTGTATTGATCTCATGTATAATCCTGCTATCCTCATGTTTAAGCATGATGCTCCTACTTTTATTTTACACTACCACTTTTGACTATGTTATTGACACACGCTATTGGTTCATGTTCATTTATTGTGTGAAGAAACATGAAAGTTAGCATTTCATTGGACTCAGGCACTGTACATATGACACTATAACTTGAAATTTGAACTGTCCTCTATGACAATATCCAGACCTGTCTGACAACTTTTTAAATAATTACATTACAAAGGGCATTACAACACTTAATTCCTAATCTTTTGAACACGTCTAGCATGCCTAGTTTTTGGGGGGGTATAAGACTATAAGATCCTTTCAAACAGAGTTGCTTTTGAGCTGCATGTATTTTTGTTAAAAGGCTGTCCACTGGCATTTACAAATCACTCAGACAACACAAATGGAGACGCACCTATCACTGTAGGAGCTTAGTTTCTTCCAGTGCACATTTTACAGCTCATTGCTCATTCTCAGGGATTAGCTCTAAGCACCCTGAGAATTAAACACTCTCTTTTATCTGGTAACTTTGGGAGAAGTCAGGTTCTGACAGGCAACGACAACGACTGCAGCTGGACCACGTGAACACAATCAAAACCTTCAACTGGTTCATTCCTTCAGATGTGGAATAATAAGCTTTAAACAATTTTTCCACAACCTGGGAGGTGGGGTAGAGAGTACAATTCCAGGTCTTAAAATATTAGACTTGCCAGCATACCTTAATCACAGTAAGTGCATCTTGCAACACGAGCAGCTTTGAATGCTTTTTAAAAATTAACAGAACAAGGTGATCTCAGCATGAATTATGCAGCACCTATTTTGCTCAAATGTACAAATTGGTGACTTACTCACATGTCCTCAGCACCTTTCAGAGCACAGAAAAAAGAGTTTATAACTCTCTGCCAAGTTCTTATTGATAGAGCACCTGTGTATAACAATTTTGTACAAACTGTGCATTTGATACCTAAAAGCAACATGAATAGTCTCTGCGCTGAAAACAAGATCTGTCATCACAGCTCCTAATATTGTATACAGCTGTGTGGCATTTTTTAGTAGACGCAAGCTTAATTTTGAAAATTTAAAGAAACAAAGACCTGCTTTTGCTTTCTTTCGCCTGGTATTTCTACAGTCCCATATTAGAAATGACATTACAGGAAGCACAGCTCGGATCTTTTGAAAACAGTTAAAACGTACCCTAAAGCAGAACAACAAAACTATTGTAGAAGAGTTACAGTAGAAAAAAAAAACCCTGACATAACCCTAAACCCTCACAAGCAAGTCAAAATGAAGTCTTTTTCTTTAACCTCAACCCGCTCTCACTGATGATGAGAATCTCAAAACCCTCTCCCTCTACATGGATAACCAGACTACTCAGCTATGAGAAGCTCACTCTGTTCTCGCCCTTAACACAGCAGCTGGTGCTTCCCAGCTGCAGCTCCAGGATTATTGAATCCCTGTGCGTGAAATCACCTCTCAAGCCACGAGCCAGGCTGCCCGCTGACAGTCTGGCTCATATCCGGATCTCCCGAGGACGGCAGCTGCGAATTGAGAAGCTAGAAGCAGCACAGTCTCCCTGTACTTATCCTCTCCGCTGAGGGACGCCAGACTCCCACTGCTCTCCCAGGATTCCACTGCGGAGCGACAGGCCTGCACGCCACTACGCTAGGCCCTCCTTCTCTGCTCTCGCTAAGCGCCTCCCTCTGTCTCTGTGAAAAGTTGCCAGGATAGGGCTGTGCTTAGTGAGCATTTTCTATCTTTTTGGGGGGGGACATGATTACCGCTGACCTCCCTGCGTCAGATGCAAGAGAAAATGCAGCATCTCCTTGCTGCATCTCGAACAAAACTCAGGCATTCCCTGTCTCGGCCCCCATATTCGTCTTCTGAGAGGCAGGCTGTGCAACTCTTCTACTTCAACAGCGTGTGGTCCTGGTCAGGAAACGGGGATCTTCAAGATAAATGAAACAGGGTACATACACGCAACACACACCACGTGATACTGCTAACATCTCACAACTGGCCCTCAGAATAACACTATGTCTTCTGCTCTCGTGTTCTATTCAGATTGATATCTGCAGACTTCTATGCTTACATATCGCTTCAGATGCAGAAGGAAGGGTTTTCAAAACTTTTTAAATGAAAAAAAGCATTTACAAAAGACACATTAAGGAACATTTTTTAATGATAAAAGCCCAAACAGTAAAATAAACTGTTCTGATGTGCGCTGATTCCTCATCTATCATATACATGTCCTATTAGCAAACAAGTGCGTGGAACCAAAGAGAAGTAGGAGCTAACGAATTCTGAACCAAAGTGCACGACTTAACAGTAAGTAAACACAGGTACATTGTACAAGCATCGATTTTGATCATGTATATGTTAATTCAGATGCCATAGGTGGTGTCTGAGGAAGAACAAACAAAAATTTACATTTACACTCTTTCCTCAGGACCAACATTTTCACACCGGAGATCCAGTATGATGACAGGGGTGCACTGTACTGTAGGGTAAGCTGTTTTACAGATATAGACATTAAATCAAAGTCTTACTTGGTGATTTAAGTTTTAAGATAAGATCACATCACATCACTATTAGTCCTATACAATTTCTTGCATTAGGAATTTGTGTTTTTGCATACCCCAGCTTGCTCTCCATGAGACACAGATAGGGAGAGACGCATGGGGTCAGAGCACAGGGTCAGCCATTGTACAGCACCCCTGGAGCAGTTGGGATTAAGGGCCTTGCTCAGGGGCCCAACGGATCAGGATTCCTCTGCCGGCCGCGGGATACGAACTGGCAACCTTCCAGCCACAGGCGCAGATCCTGAGCCACAGAGCCACCGCTCCGCCCCTCAGTTTTCAGTATTGGCACTGATTGCATAAGAAGAACTGTTAAACCCAGTGTGCTGGCTAAAATACATTCTGCGTTTGCACAATGGCACCTCCTTAAAGTTGCCCCTTAATTCCACTAATTGATTGGTGAAGCAATTTCTCGCTCCTCTGTTGATCTCTTGTGCAGCGGGCATGCTGGTGCAGAATGGCTACTGTGCTTCACCCAGGTGGTGAAGTGAAAATGCACTTCAGTTGTGAAGGGATCCTCCCCTATGTGTAACATTACACATGTAAAGTACTTCAGGATCCTTTAGGATGAAAAGTGTGATATGAAATGCAAGGATATAGATTAAGATGAAGAAACTTGGTATACAATTGAGTCAGCCAAGCATCTGCAAAACCCTTTTTATTCATTCAATCGCCCCATCACAAACCACCCTGCCCTCTACAATCAGCAAGTTAAGTAGTTTTCATGAAGGCTTCCTTCCAGAGCACAACATTTCTTAATAAGAAAACTCAGGGACTTTCAGTGCTTTTTGACGATCCCGATCACACTGCCAGTATACTGCTCGTCAAGCTTTAAACTTGCAGACCGGACAGGATTTCCAGATTATTTACGGCAGAGGATTCTTCTAGGCGTTAAGTGTTCGGACAGAATTCCTATCTGCTTTCTGCAAAATATTGTGCTGGAGGTGTAAGGGATTTGGGGGGCTAGAATCCCTTGTTTAAGGAAACTTTCAAGCCTTTTGCAGGATTCCATTTTTTCCTCCGCAGACATTATCCGGCAGAATCTGCCCTGTTCAAGAACAGATTCGGAGCTGGGGCCGAGCCCCTGTAATGACACACTTAACAAAGCAGTGCTGTACCACACAAAGCCCCAGAGACTTGACAGCTATTCCCACAAGCCAGTTATTTCAGGGGGCAGGAGAGAATTCCTGTCCTAAAAATAGCATAGAGTGATTTTTAATACATTGTACCTCTGGACTGATAAGACTTGGTGGGTCTTTCCTTTCTCCGAAAGAACACAAGAAACGTGTTAAAGCAGAATTAATTTGTGATCCGGTGTAGTTCTGCTCACGAAAGCAAAAGAGCAAAAACCTCAGAAAAAAGTGAAGTCACTGGATTTGCCACTAGTTTAATCACTAGATCCCCCCCTTGTTTTCCCCTTGTTATTTTATGCACATTTGAGGGGGAAAATTTACATTTTTACCAGCAATATTTCCGGAACGTTCTGAAACATAGCGACCATGGAGAACTTCCACGGTATCCCAGCTCAAAGGCCTGTGGCTCCCTCTGACAGTCTGATTTTTGTATGCTGTCAGTTTTCTGGCCCCTGCAGCAGAATAGGACAAGGCTTCTTTAATTATGCAAGTGAGATTTTAAAAATAAGAGGACCGTCCGGTTCACTTCCATGACAATACGGAAATTCATAAACCTTTTGTGTAAGGAAGTGTCACCTGCTCTCAACTGAATGCACTTGACCTTGGTTTCTGTGTCCTCTGGTTTCTCTCTCACTTTAATTTTAAATTTGGTGGGGTTAGGGTTGATACCTTTGAGGCCTTTGCACAGGGTTCTTTCAAAGACTTCTCAGTTCAAGACTAAAACAGTTAAGTTCTTTTAGCCTTTCATAATAGGACATTCATTTGAGTCTGGGGATGCACCAGCATATGGTCTCTCTTCTCCTGTGTCCAGGATAGACATATCCTATTTCTCTTATTGTGACTAGAATATTCTAAAAGAGGTTTTACAACTACAATGAACAATTTTTAACTTGACATCACTTGATTAAATTAAAGGTTTAACTATGAAAATATTATGTATATCGCCTGACATTATTTGCCTTTTTATTTCCCCACAGTGCCTAATGTTATGTCAACATACTTGACTCAGACGAAGTGTTTCCTATGTTATGTTTTTGTTTTTGCAATCTTCATGTTACACACAATCACTGCACGTAGCTACATTAAAATGCTCGGAGTTTTTTTCAGCAAGGATTTTTATCTAAATATTTTGAATTTACTTTGCAACTTCTACATTGTTTATTAATCAATGCCGGTCAGAGAATGTGCTTAGTTTACCAACACTAAAAACAGTATCGTGTTGCCTTCCTCACTGATCAGACCACGACCTTAAACCCTGTAATTCAAGCACATACTGTACTTATGCACTACCTTCTAGTTCAGTTACTCCAAATTCCCCAACACCCTTTCAGAGACTGTTTAGCCCTGCTGGAAATCGAAAATAAAATAAAAACAGAAACACGGAACTCCTGCTCATTTTCTGCCAAACCCAAAGCCAAGGACATACATGCAAACGTGTCCGTTTTCAAAAACGGTACTAAAAAAGAGCAACGCGTGACAACAAAAACTAACCCAGGCGCCCATTCCGTGTCTTTAGGAAGAAAATAATAAAAGTGAATGCGGCATCATTTTATAACGTTTCATTGATCAAAGAAAACGAACATGCCCACATGTTTTGTTAAGAGAAAGCAAAGATTATATTTAAAAAGGTACAGTACCCGAGATAGCGATTTGGGTCTTCAGCTAGGATACAGTTTAACATCAGCTGTGACGTTGTCACTTAAACGGCCAGTAGCTACTATAATTAAAAACCGATTATAACCGGTATTTTCCCTGAACTTTCCTGTTTGCTACATTGCACGAACGTGTGTCAGTGGATTTGCCCCTCCCCGTCTAATACATCTACATGTGTTGGCAGTGACGTCCTGCGACCGTTTAAAACTTCAGCAGAAAGCTAAATGATAAAAAAATATATGTATTGATGTTTGACCTTCGTTTTTGCATACAAAACGAGAGCGGTAGGGCGTAAAAAATATTTGTACTCCTAGATGGGCCGAAGTGGGTTAAATCATTTTCATTCCCTTTATTTTTCTGGACTGTAGTCTGAATCATTTCCACCATCCAATTTACAGCACCTTAATAAAAACAAAACAACATATTGCGTTGAGCATGTTTGAGGCAGGCTGTGGAAGAAAGGAGACTAGGGGGTTGTTCTGGTTCATAGGGGAGATTTATTGCCCTTTTATTTACAGCCGGTGTGCTTTCCACGGAGGGAGGAAAGGCAGGATAAAGAGGAGAAAGAAAGAGAATAATTACCCCCCGAAAATAATTTTCTATTAACGTGGAAACAGTGTTTTCGTTGATTTTTTTTTTAAATATGGAAAAATATGTTCTGTAACTACTCTTAACATTTCAAATTTTCTTTTTCTGTCAGGACGAATGAAAAAAAAAAACCCGTAGCTGGGCCTCGTGTCCCATTTGAGGTTCCAGGACGGGATTTATAATGCAACACACACAAGGCGGTTTTGTAGGCAGAAATTGTTTAATCTCATTTCGTTAATCAGAACCCTAGGCTAACAGTAGCCCAAATAATGGCTATAAGAAAAGGGGTGGCTAGAAGTGGGGGAAAAGAAAATGGAGCAGAAGGGAAGCAGATACAGTAGGTGCTCCACGTCGACAGCAGCAGAACTGAATGCTAATTTTGCTGTTAAAGACAGAGCAGTTGTACCCAGTAAAGACTCCTGTCCGGTCATTTGTGGACCACTGCCACAGCCCCCTGATGACCTAGGGATGGAAAAACCCAACCAGGTCGTCCTACATTGATACCCTGCCCATCTGTTTCAGGGTAGGAATTGCCCTTTTGTATCTTCGTGGTACCACGATCGAGAAGGGCTCGAGTATAGCGCCAAAGCTGACGCAGCAGTTTGCTATCCCTGTATGAAGTTCAACAGTGCCCGCACCACTGACCCAACTTTTACAGTGAGGGGGGGTACCATGACTGGAAACACAACACTTCACAGGAACATATAACCCGCATGGCCGTATGGACGGAGCATGAAACGCGCATTAAAAATGAGAAGGAAATTTCCACTCTCCTGAACGCAGACCAGCTCAGAACAAATTGTTATTACAGCATGTGTCTGCTGAGTCACATGTCTCAAACTGGCCCCCCAGCCCCCCCCCCACAGTTAAAACCAGATGCCCACCCGGTCGAATTGTTCTGGCGAGGCCCTGTAGACCAGCAACCCTCACCCTGACAGAAGGGTACACAGGTTGTGAAATCAGCACACATAGGAAATTGATCTGCGCACAGAAAATTAAATTCCCCCAAAAATATGATAATAAGAAAACAAACAGGGTCGTCAATGGAAAAAGGTTAAATTGACCACTAGACTGCGAGAGGCCCAACGTGGCTGGGTGCATTATTACTGCTACTCGATCGTCGATATCAACGCTCTCGTAGTCTCATACCTCACTGCTCATGCTTGCTCGACACTCGGTCTCTATGACTGGGCTCGCTGAATTATGTCCCGGTCTTTTGGATCTTTATGCGTCTATGAGAATGACGATATTAACAAAAAATAATTTCAGGTTTACAATTTTACATACACTCAATTGTATGTGTACAATTCGCACTGTGCTCCGAATTATCCCGAATGGGGCCTTGATCCGGGGGATCTTCCCAGTGACCAGGTGTGCAGCCGGTGGACTCCTGGACCACTAAGCTGTGGGAGAGGAGCACCGGAGGATTTTGCAGGTCCCAGTCTTCTTGGTGCCGTGCACCAACCGGGGACTGCTGCATGCCCAGGGTGCGCTTGAACCACTTGACAAGCTTGTTACCTTAGGAGTGTAGGGGGTGGTCCGAGTTTTTTGGATACCACGTGCACTGGAACATATGGGAGTCGCAGTTCCGGCTTTGGTCTGCGTGCACTTCCAGTGGAATCCCCACACCAGCTGAAAACCTCCCCCAGAGTAACTGTAAGACCTCATACTCTGGTCTGGCAGGGCCTAAGCCTGTGACCAGTGGGGAAAATGGCACCTTTCCATAAGCACATACCTGTTGCTGCAGGTGGACCCAGGACATCTATGGCGCCTATCTTCATCAGGGACCCCACGGGACGTGGCTACAGTGCAGTGCAGGCAATAGAGTGCAGACAGAAGTGTGCAAAGTCTCTTTGGACCCACCCCCAGTCATAGGGTCTTCATGACGCTGAGGACATGGGCCACCTTGCACCCCTCCTCTCCTGAAGTTGGGGTGCACCCAGCACTGCTTTAACATGCTGTCCTGGATGCTGAGTCCAGGGCACTGAGCCTGGAGAGCTTTGAGAGAAGATGGACATCTAGCCATCTTCTCCAGGTGGGGCGCTCACCCTTACTCACTCAGGGAGTAAGTGGGCTGAGTGTCTGGTGCCAGTAGCTACTCTAGGGGTGAGAACCAGGACGCCCCCTTCAGGTGGTCCAGGGATTCCTCAATACAAGGTACGGGGTAGGAGTCTTTCTGTGTGGCAGCATTCAGGCTCAGGTAGTCAACATAGATCCACCAGAATCTCCTAAGGCGACCATTACTATCGGTGACCTTCAAGGGCTGTTGGAAGATTTCACTATCCCTGTCTCCTCCAGGGCTATCTCCGGAGCCTGTCTTCGCTGATCCAACAGACAGCAGGGCTGCTGTCTGTTGGGACGGGCATCCCCAGCGTCAATGCACTGCCTGCAGAAGTCCTTTGGTGCCAACGCAAAGATGTGCTGGAACTGCAGGAGAAGACTCCGGTGATGCTCACCTTGGCTGGGGGTCAGGTCCCTGGCACACCTTCCCCCTACGGCTCTTGAGTGTGGCCTGTCGGTGGTCGCTCCTGGTGCATCCTGATTGACGGGAGCTGAGCTCCGTTGCCTGGAGACAATTGGCGATGCATCTGGTGAGCTCGGGGCTTTAGCCCTTTCTTGCGAACATGTCAGGGTGGGGCATCAGGTTTCGCTGGCTGTTGGCGAGGCACCGGCGACGTACCCTCACGCAGCCAACCGGTGGTCAGCTCCAGTGCAGGTCAGACCCTGATGCAGGCGTACTGTTTGGAGGCCATCTGAAGATCCGGCTGGGCGCAGGCTCCCCATAGAAAGTCCAACCCCCAGGATACAGGCCTCCTAAATGGGGGGTCATCGATAGCATTACTGGCCAACTTCCATCGCAGCAGTGGTTCACCCATGAGTGGGTGCTGTCTCCCCAGTCGCGGTGCTCAGTTCTAGGCCCGTGGTCTGAAGTGACATGTGGCAGCAGATCGGAGCGGACAATGGTCATGGTTGACTCTGTATCCACCAGGGTCCCTTCAGTTTGGCCAATGAGGTGGTAATTGTAGGGGGGTTTGATGGCTGATGCTGCAGGCAGGGGGCACAAATTGTGCACCCACTGCATGGCGGGGGTGCTGGTAATGGGAGGGCCTCCTACTTTAGGCCTTGCAGGGCCTCAACCTCTCAGCCACATAGTGGACCCGGGACTGTGTGGTGCTGAGGCTTCGGCGCTTATTCGGCTGGTGTTCTTTTGGAGAATATCCGTCCGATGGGCCAGGTGATGCAGGTTAACGGGGGATGAGGCCGTCCACAAACCGGTGAATCAGCAATTCTTCCTGGGCCTCCTTGGCAGGCCCGGTGCGGGAGGCAGCACAGGTCCACTGCGCCGGCTCCAAGCTGTGCTTCAGACTGTCTTTCGCGATGCTGTCATTTCCCCGGCCTGGCTCCTGTGACTTGCAGCCCTTTGAACAGCTCTCTGAACTCTCCCGTTATCAGACTGTCTCTGGTTACAACAGGGGAAAATCCACCGTCTCTTCCAGGTGTGGGTGAGCGCGTCGCTACCACTCCGTACTGCGGATTCGATCCCAGCCCTTGTTCGGTCCCGGGGTTTCCTTTCTAGACGAGTGTTGTCCCGATGTGAGATTGAGCATGTTGGAGGAAGGCAGCAGGAGAATGGAGACTGGGAGGCTGTTGTTCTGGCTCACAGGGTCGATTTATTGCCCTTTTATTTACAATAGCCGTGTTCTTCACGGAGGCAGAGAAGGCTGGGTGAAGAGGAGAGAGAAGTGTTGCCTGTGAATAATCCAAGGTGTAAAGAGGGTTTTAAAAGACGGGGTCAGAGGCGGTGTCAAAGGGGAAAGGGCAAGGGGCACAGGATCAGTCCATTCCAGGACTTGGGGTGGAATGAAAGAGGCTACAATATTAACACACTGCACAGGCTGCTACAATATAAATATATGCTTTTATTAGTAGTAATCATGTTAACAGAATACAACAGGAACATCTTGCAACATGATAACTGAAAAAAAGATTAAACCTGATAAAAAAAATGTACTATGTCTTTTACAGCAGTGGAGCTTTGTGGCTTGGGGACTGGCTAACAGCGCGCTAGAGAATGATATAGGTGCACTAGCCCACTCACAGCACCGGGTATCCACATCAGCACAGTCACCTCAAAGCCCGTGTCAGGTAATGCAGGTGCTGATGCAAGGGGAGATGTCTTTTTCAACGTCAAATCCTCAGATTGACACCAATCGTGAAGCCCAGGGGTCTCCAACCCTGGTCCCGAAGGCTGTGTAGGTCACCAGTTTTGGGAGACATTGAATAATTCCATCATGAAAACTGAGTGGCATGTGGTTTATTAGACTGAGTAATTTAGAGACCATTTAGAACTAAAATATAAATACTCCTCAGCCCTCAAGGACCAGAGATCACTTAATTGAACATATAATTTACTTGATTCATCTACCGTATATCTTACATGTTTAGCCATACTTTTAAACTGGGGCTGTATGGGACCTGGCTGGAGACCCCTGCTCTAATCAGTAATGGGTAATGTGTGTATGTGTGGAGGCACGGTATAATTCACATTAATGCTTGCAGTTGTTATAGTTTATTCTGTTCAACTGGGTGTGTGCTTTGCATTTGCTTACAGTGAGAACGAAAACATCATAAAGTGCTTTTAAAAAATGCATTACTACTTGTTGATGCACAGTTATTTGTCTTGTTTATTATTATTGTGAAAGGGTGTAAGAAAATGGCACTAATTAACAGTCCCACTTAATCTGCGATAGACAAAAATGAATGACTAATTAAAATCTGGAAAACGCTGCCGCGCATAAAAAGTCCTGTGAAGACTGAGCAATGAGTAGTCAAAGTGCTCCCCTTCTTATTCCTGCAGTGAACAGATCTAATTGCCATCTTTTATTATGTCATTTAACAGATTACAGTACATTCATCACAATGGCAAAAAGGTACAGAGGAGAACAATCAGTCTGGTTTTGGAACCATATAACACCCAGATGTGTAGACCTGCATAAACATCTTATGGTTTAGTCCCTTTTAGATGGAAATATCTTTAATCTCCCACCAACTGGATGTTTTTGGTAGCAGCCCTGAAATAATCATTACGAAGCCCTCCATCTAAAGTGCAAAAACAAAGTCCAAAATAGTAGCCCATCGATAAGTAGAACAAAATCAAATAGGACACAGAAAAGCTTCAAAACCATTTTTTGGTCAAACCCTTTCAAGAGCAGATAGGTGGTCGAGGCCTGGTGACACTCTAGGCTAAACATGAGACAAAATCAAGAGAAGTAAATGCTACTGACAATGGCAAATGCCAGAAGATGGCAGGATGGTGTGTTTTTTAAAAATATACCACTAAATAAAAACTTTGGCATTAATGTCCTACTGATTGTTCAGGTTCCTGTTTTATTGGGGTGGAACAATGGTGGCAGGTTTTGAAATTAGCCTAGATCTACTTAACAAAGCATAACTGGAGCCCAAATACAAATATAAAGACTGAGTTTCTTATAGAACATATGCGCACAGTGACCTGTTAATTTGGAAGGTACTACATATTATGACACTATGACACACATATGGTGTTTGTATTAAAAAAAGAATCGCTCTGTGGGAGTTAGATTGCTTCAGTGTGCTTTCACTTTAAAAAGTTCTGTTTCTTACTGTATGTCCTATTGTTTTCATGTGCTTCCCAATGAGCCCCACATTCGCCTGTTGACTCAGCTCGAATAACAGCTTCTCCTATGGAACTCTACTGCACAAACTCACTATGAATCCAAAAACAAAATGACCCAACTAGTCAGGTAGTAACTCGATTCAGGAGAAAGATGCACTCAAATTCGTGATACGTGCTTGAAAAGGCGTGACCACACGTTTTAACAGTCTTGAAAGTTAAAACTTTGACATCCCTGTTGAAACCTGAGGCTATGTTCTGTGAACCTAACCTGTGTACTAACCAGCTGTATTATTTTATGATTTCACAACCTTCCCGCGAAACACAAAATTCACTGGAAAGCCTAAGGCTTTTAGGAAAAACTCCTCAGTGCAAACAAACCGACAAAGCTACATTTTTTTCCTTTTTCCAGGTCTCTGCAATTAATCACACAGCAGTTTGTTTTTGTTTTTATACAAACTTGAGATACAGTGACAGAATACAGCTCTCAATGATGGCGGATTGGAGGGGGACTCTTACAGTATCTGTCTCTACAGCTTTCACTCTTTGGGGACTAGGCTGGAGAGGGAGAGATTGTACATACTGTAACAAACACATACAGTATATAAATAGCAACAGAGCACACACTTCAAGAGTTTCAGGAACGCCCTCACTTGTTCTACAAACAAAATTGCCAGAACCTTTAGTAACACAGGCCAAACGTGTTGCAGAAGAGCAGACATGCTTGCAGGTTTTGTGTTATTAAATAATGGATTCATACGTACTGAGAGGAGCCAATTCTGCACAGCAAATTAGCTTCATTTGCTATTTAGTTGGCAAAACAACATTGAAAGGACCCTATGTTTGTTCTAGAGCTCGAGTTGAACAACTCCATGGCGAAGCAGTTCTTGGACTGCACATCCCCTCCCCTTAAAACAAACACGGTCCCAACTGTAAGAAAAAAGTACATTTGCAATTTATTTGGGTCTTCTTCATGCTGTGTCTCAGCCTGATGAGTTTAGAGATCTACTGGGCGAGTAGAAAATTGGTCCCTTTTGTAAGGCACACAGAAGAGACCCAAAGAACTGTTGACTCGAGATCTCATATCTGTTCATCTTAGTTCATCTGGTGAGCCTCATTCTTCCAGTACTGCCATTCACTTCATCGAACCACAGCGACCACTGGTTTCCTGGGATTCATTACGGATGTGTAATTTAGAAAAGGGAAACTTTGTCGGTAAGTCTGCTTTTTCTAGGAGGGAGTTCCTGAAATGCGAGAGAGCTGTCTGCGTGGCTCTCCTTCTCATTTGTGCAAACTCCGGTCTGCTCTGAAGTTATTTTGTGAGAAATTCATTCAATTAAAAATGAAGAATGGGGTATGCAAATCAAACAGTTGTTCACAGGAAAGAGAATATCCTTGTTACTGACTAATATAAATTGGAAAATCGTGGTAAAAATGACACTGTACATGCCTGTTCCAAACAAGATGAGACTCGTTTTACCATATTAAATTCCTCTATGCCTGCTGTCCTTCACTGCAGGTCAGGAAGTAGCTCCAGCAGATCCCTCAAGATGTCATACTTCCTCAGAAAGGAGACCACTTTTTACATCCCACTGAGTTCAGCTTCTCTTTGTCTTCTACGCTTTGCTTGTGAAACTTTTCCTTCAAAAATCCAGAAGCTTTGTACAATTGCTTGCATTCGCTGACCAAAAACTAAAACAACATGGTCTATACTCCATTTTCCCAGAATGCCTTTCCTGCATGAGTTACTCAACAAAGTCACAAAGCTGTGTTGTTCTTTTTCTTCTTTTCTCTTTGTCTAAATCCAGTTTCCTCTAACGTGCAAATGGTTCAAAAACCAACATGGAAAAAAGAAAACTTCAGCAAACAACAAAAGTGCCTATTTACATTTTACAGCATAACACTTAGGCTACTGTACAGTCATTATTATATTATCAGCATGAGTATTATTCATAGTAAGTACAATAGTTGGAATCAGAACTCATCTCATAGCAACAGAGTCTATTGGGATTCAAGACATTTTGCATTGCTTTGCAATAGAGTGGTACAGAGTAGAGAGCTGAGGTGACGATGAATCCACATTTAGGAACGTTTGAGAGATATACAGTGTAGAAGGACATGGGTTAGGAATTGCACAAGGTGATCAGTCCTCCCAGATTGCTCCATAACAGTGGAACAGCAGTCCCCCACACAGAAGTTTCAGTCTTTGTAACTATTGAATATACTGTACACACATACAAGCCAAACTTGTCTAGTTTTCACTTCATACACATTCAGTTTCTTTGCAGGAACACGTTGAATCTCCAGGAACAACAAACATCCGAGTGTGCGTTCCTGTAAGGAACAGAATTCCGACTGATCTTCTCCCTCGGGTTTTCCATTTCATGCCAGCGTTGCCGGTAGTCTCACTTCTTTTATTAATCCCGTAATTGGGATCCCAGGCTGTAACACCGCACTCAGGTGACAACCCTTTGATTCAGCGGGGGTTGTTTTTTTTTAAATGCTAAAATATATTTACAGCCATTTCTTTCAATACGAAACGGCTTCATTCTGAAGTACCCGGATAGTTCAGAGATTCAAATGAGAGACAATACAATGCAATATATAAGGTCAAAATTGGGCACATGAATTACAAACCTTTAGCCCAGCTGACCTGCAGAAGGAATTTGTAAACGCAAGGATGGCAATTTGTCACAACAAATGCAGAACTGCAATGTGGCAGGTACTATACGTCAATATTCCAGCCCCCTCATCACTGTTTCTCAGTCCCAAGCTCGGTCTCATCTTTGCCATGTTGAAAACATTTTGATTAGACGTTGCCTGTTTTTTTTTTTTTTCAGGGTCAGGAGAACTGGACTCGGAAAAGCCACACAAGCAAACCTATGGATCTCGGCGAGTGAGTAAGTGACACAGCCCCTGGAGGGAGAGAGGGCTGGGGAGACTTGAGTTGACTTGGAAAACGAAAAGTTCCCCCAGGCTTGGTTTAACTGACATGTTGTGGCGTCACGCTGCAAACCCAGCCCAAACGGTATGTGAACAAGACAAAACACAGGAAGGTAACTATGAGACTGGCAAAATCCAGTTCCAGGATATGAATCCAGAGCTTTACATAGACACCAAGGTTTAGCCCATTAGAGTGCAAAGGTACCCAACACAGTGGGCTTCTCTCCCACAAGCAAACATGGTTGGTCCTTCTCTTATATTGAAATACTGATCTGCAGTGAATGCCCTGGGGTCCCACCTAGCCTGCAATTTTTGTCAGTGTTTTCAGACCAGCAGCATAGTCGGCCTTTTGGGGGGAAGTATTCCATGGGGCTTCGGGAATGTGAAGAAAGGGCAAAGACTGCAAGTGGAGCCAGTTCTGTGACAGTCGTCGTGGACAAATGTTAAAGCTCAGATCAGTTCACGTTCTACAGTAGTTCGAACCTAGTCCTGCTGGGAGTGTCTCCTGTCCCATGGAAGATACTGTCAACTGAATAATTCCTGTATTAAGAGTGCATATAGTATATATGCTGTATATATACACACACTTCTTTGAGGCAAACTGCCTATGCATTAATACAAACGTGCAAGATGCAGAAAAAAGAAACAATGGTATTTACATACTGTATAAAACTCATGGTCTAGTAATCTGATACAGAATGGAGTGTGAAATCCAGACTTAAGTGATAGGATTCAGGCACCTTTTTGAAAAAAATAATTAATTCAAGGTAAAACCAGACTATTCAATAAGCAATCAAATGTTCATTAACTTAAATGATTGAATAAAAAAAACAACAAACCAATAAGTTCCTTTCTAAACGTCCTTCCTACATATGCCTGACACTCAAAAGGTGAAAACTCTTCCCAATGTTTAAAATAATTTTACAATAATTTGTCATCAAACCTTCTTGAATTTATGCCAAAAATACTTTTGTTTCTTTTATGCTCCTTTTGTAGAATTCTTTCCATTGGCCAAGTGCATGGTAAATAGATAGAATAGTAATGGGAGTGTGAATTATTCCGGCTCAGGGGCATAACCATAAAAGCTAAGATTCTTGGAGAATGGTAGCTTGGTTTTCCAGTGAGGTAAATATTTTTACCAAGTCTTCATTTCCAGTTGCAACACTTGTCATGTTTACTTGTTTTAGGTTTTCCTTGTCTCACAATTCCTTGTGCGATCTCAGCACAGGAGCTACCTCCCATAGGTCATCAAAAGGTTAAAGGTCAATATATTGATCACACGTTTAAAGTCTGATCTTCTTCCTCTGGGTGAGAACAGGAAGCAAATCAAGGGTCTGGAGGACTTACAGTATAGTCTTCAGTTTTATTGTCTCATCTCTCCGAGACCACCAGGAAATAGAGTTCTTGTAAAACAAAGTACCTTTAAAAACAAAAGGCCCAGGGAACAAAGCTTGTGTCTGATTTCAGCTCTCACTCACGAACGCGTGCGAAACCCCCCCCCCCCCATGCAAACACCTCTGTTGCTGCCCAGTCAATAGTAGCAGGGAAAAGAACGTCCCCCACTTCTGGTATCTCCTCGGATGGTTCGTTTTTGCAATGTCAGAAGAAGATTTCTCCCACTGTGACGTCAGCTCGACTGCTTCTTAAAAGAGGTTCTGGAGAAAGGGGGCTGGCCTATCGCTCGGACTTGACCTTGTAGCGCAGCACCAGGTAGGTGGCGAGCCGTAAGACCACAAAGAAGATGCCCAGGATTATGAAGTCCAGGTACAACTTGGCGTCTTCTACGTCCAGCATCTGAAGGACCTCCTCCGGCTTCTGGAACTTACACACTTTCCCTGGACACTCCAGCTCCGAGCGGTTCATCCCATAGATGGACAGGATCACCCCCTCGAACCCGTACCTGAGTCGTGAAGAAAACAGAGTCCCAAAGGAGTGTTAGAATAGCAATGAGAAGCTGATGCATTGAGAAACGGTAGTATACAACGATATTGACAGAATTTTCTGTGGACTTTTCTTGGCCAGAATCCATTAAAAATCAGATGGTCTAGACAGACAGAAAAATATCAAATATGCAATGTATAGTAACGTCAGGGATGATGCCCATATCCTTACCACAAGAGGGCACTGTTAATACTCAGGGTCAAAGGAGAAGTCTTACACCTGGCTAGTAGCATTCTGTGCCTCAGCCTCAGTCGCTCCAGTTTTGAAAAACCAGGCCAGAATTGTTACCAACCAAAAACAATCCCTTAAAGGGACAACTACACATCTTCTCTAACCATAATTTTTCACTTGCTGAGCTTTAAGATGTACAAATTGTAGGCCTGCGACTCAGTAATAATGTTGCTTTCACTCATTTATCAACACTTCTTTAATGATCCCTTTTTGCATCTCGTTTTTCTTTCAATGCTACAAAAAAGAGCCTATTCGTCTATACAAGAGATCCTCCTGGCCATTACCTTTGAAACATACAGTATAGTTGTTCTTACCTGACATAGGAAACATAGGAGCTCCATTGCAAGTATTTGGGAATGGTGTCAAAATTGACAAAGAAGCCAGAGAAAAGCAGCACAGGGATAGCAGTGACAGGCCCCACGAATGTTGCCACCTGGAGACAGAGAAGTAATTATACCATCTGATATCATACAGGAAATACATTTCATTCCCTGTCATTCCCTGTGAACAGAAAGGGCATGCAATCCAGAGTCCGAGAACAAATGCTGTGTCTGTTTTTAGGAGATTTGCACATAATGCCATAAACTGTAACTGTATGCAAGACAAAAAAACATGATCCTAATTATGACTGAAATTTGGACTAATTTCTCTTCCAGACTCACTGTGGCAAAAACGCCACACTCCTGTCTGCTTTTGCGCCTGCAATAGCACTGGATGCCATGCGGCACAACCCCAGGCTGTGTAAGCAGTCACGGTAGCGTCTGCATTTCTAACATCTTGTTAAAGGCAGAGCAGCAGGTGGCTAGTGCCTGCTCCCTTGAATGCTCCGTGTTGTGCAGTGCCAGAGGCTGCGGTGTCGCTGTGCGAGTACCTGCAGGGAGGTGGAGGCAGCCCCTATGAGGAGCCCCAGGGACTGGGCCACCAGGGCAGTGGAGGTACAGAGAGCCACGAAGAGCAGGTAGCGGGAAGCTTCGGGGGGCTGCTCTGTCATCCAGTACACAATACTGCAGTACATGATGGGGCAGATGACCTGGGCACAACAGAGCACACTTTTCAGAGAACAGACCCGGATGTGCACGGTCTACAAAATTCTACGACTTTATCGAAATAGGGTTTAAGGAAGAGCTTAATGATCTCCTTGCAAATTTGTAAAAAAAAGGTTTGGAATTTAAGCTCTTAAAATGGCTGGACAGATCAATGCATTTACCGTATCAATGGTTGCAATGAGTCAGGAAATGAATGGGCAAACAATCAACGGGCCCATTATGGAAGCAGTCCAGGATCCAGCCTTTTGCTGCCAGAGGGTTTGCAATGAAGGGTGCAGCAGCTACAAGCCTGACGCTGACAGGTCTCTGATGTCTGAGCTCACCTGGAATGGTATGTCCGCCATCGTCTTGGCCAGATAGTAGGCCTTCAGGCTGTACCAGTAGTTGAGGTGCTCTCTCAAAAACACTGACATCTCCAGAGGAACTGTGGAGACACAAGGACACGCACATCACCACTAGAGTGCGCCCTAGTCAACAACTTTCACATGACTGAATCATCATTGTCATGGTCATTTTTATTTAACGATATTTTGTTTTGTATGAGTCTCCAGTACAAATAACAGACAGCGATCTTAACATGTTTTTGTAAATCATCTGTAGAGCAAGAAGCACACTTTGCATTGTTACTAATGACAAATAAGCCAATAATAACAGTGATACTAAAGCAAACAAAAACTGTACAGGCAGCCTTGGTGTTCTCTTGGCTTATTCTTCTCGATCCTCTCTCTTTTTTATGAACCCTGCATCAACTAAACCCCACTCAAGTGCGCATGAGATCCAGAACTGTGTGTTGGGCTCTCACTACCTTATGCTCCTTTAATATGGGGGACAAAATTGAACAGAACCCTAAATGATCAAGTGTGTAGAATTCAGAACTCCCTGAACCCTAAAGGATCTCAGTATGCAGGATTCAGAACACCTATAATCCTAAAGGATCCCAGCTGTCGGATTCAGAACACCCTGAACCCTATGGGATCCCAGCTGTGGGATTCAGAACACCCTGAACCCTAAAGGATTAAAGCATTTAGGATTCAGATCTCTCTCCCTCAAACTCCCCTTCATATCTCCACAAGTACTCCTCACCCCACAACAGGCGCCAGGATAACTTACAGGTGAGGACTGTGGGCATGAGAGCAGCGAACATCAGAAACAGCATGGAGAAGAAGAGGAAGCCAGTGTTGTTGAAGACCTTGCTGGCGTCGTTCCCAATGTTGAGGTACAGCAGTCCTATCAGCACTCCGATGCTGATGTGTGACATCACTCTCAGGTGCGTCAACACCTGAACTCACAGAAGACACACACACCTGCAGTTAAAGCTGGCTCCCCTGCCTCATGTAGGCATTACACTTCTGATTCACAGCCTCACTAAGCAGAGCACATTTCGTCATGAAATGTCAGCCCTGGGGACTTTCTCCTCTTTGGCTTTCAGTGCACCAATACACATCATATGCACTTATATACACTAATATCTATTAGTTTTCAATGTAAAACTCTGCCAAATGTAAGTCATCTTGTGCAGTGATAGTGAACTCCACCTCAAAGGCTTCAAAAAGACCAAATTAAGATAAAAGGGAACCGTACAGGGAAAAGCTGAAGTACTACAGGTTCAGGGCTCGTACCGTGTCCCTGCAGATAGTGATGAAGGTCCTCTTGAAGAGAATGCAGAACTGGGTCAGAGTGCTGGTGGCGAAGGTGTGGCTCTCTATGTGACCAGAATCCTGACAGAGAAAGACACCGATGGGGTTAGTTATCTTCCACAGCTTCTGTAAGCGTGTGAGATGGCTCACATCTGGGTCCGGCACCGATGTTCATCATGTCTTGGTGGTTCGGAGGCTGAGATTTTCCTGTCTGAGCCCCGTGTGATGAACGGACACGCCAAAGAAGAACTTTAAAGCTCCAAAAAAGAATTTGCGAGTTGTTAAAATTCAACTAGTTCATCAGTTTTTAAATCATATTTATTGTTATGTTCGCTTTTTTGGATCTAATGGAGAATCAGATCTTAACGGATAAAACTATCACAGTACGTTTGATCAAACTGACCCCTCCCGGAAGGTCATGGGTTCAAATTGCAAGTTGGTCACTTCTGTTGTACCTATGAATGACCACGGAGGAGCCTCCTTAAACAAGCCGCGATCTTCGGAATGCGGTCTGTGGCCGCCACGTGGAAAGTCGGGACAGTGGGAGCAGGACTCACGCTTAAGCACTGCGAGGGGCAGGAGGAGGAGGCCATGCCAGTCTTGTCGCTGGACGGCTTCTTCTCCCCCATGGCACACATCCCACCCTGCACCGCCTCAAACAGCACGGGGTTCAGGTCTCCATACTCCCCCGACGCCACCTCGATGACTGACCGGGAGAGAGACAGAGACACACAGGAAATCACTGAGGGTTTTATCTCATTCGAGTTCGCTCTTAGACAAGGCCCGATTATCCCCAAAATGCTGTTGATTACACAGCAGAAGGAAGACCCCCCGGATGAAAGGACAGAATACGGAATTCCTTCAAAGCCCTCTGGAATCCATGGCAAGTCTGTGCCGATGACGAGGAAAGCGTCCTGGGGTACTTACTGAAGTCTGCTGGGTTGTGGTAGGTGGGACAGTGGAGGCCCAAGTTTTTCAGATAGGGAATGAGGTGTGGAACAGGCCCCTTGTAGATACACTGGCCTTGGCTCAGGATGTACAGCTAGAACAAAACAGAAAGACTGCCATTATCGTCATTATCAAGACTCATACCAATTACTGCTTAGACAAGATTTTCTAATTTGGTCAAATTTCTCTAGCCTGCCCAAAGGTCTCCTCGAGTGTATGTATGAGTAGGGGATTCTGTGCAACTGCATTCGCTTGGACTCTTTTAACCCTTTGTGAAACCATTAAGCGAGACAGCTTTGGCCACTAGAACGTCATCATCGGGCACTGGGCTCCTACCTTGTCGAACATCTCGAAGAGTTTGGCGCTGGGCTGATGGATTGTACAGATGATGGTGCGTCCGCCCTGAGCCAGAGACTTCATCAGGGACACCACCTGGAAACACGACGCGCTGTCCAGACCACTGAGAGCGATGGCAAGAGAGAAAAAGATATCAATGAGTCATCCTTCATCGGGGGGTCTGAGCTCATGCAAGGAAACCAGCAATTCAGAATCCCATGTCATGTTTCACAGTCCATACTGCCATGGCAGTGTCTTTTCACACAGTGCGTCTAACTGAAATCTAATCAAGGACCCGCTTTTAATGGGTTAGAATTAAACCCAGACAAGAACAGAGTTACTGTTGATTAGCTCTGAATGCAAAATATTCCAACGTAACCATGCTAGGATCATCTTGGAAGAACGTTTGTTACTCTTTGTCCTCAAGTATTAAGAGCCCGGGGTGTCATTCTGGACTCACTTGAGAAACATTTCTGAAGACAAAACCTGCCTGGCTCAGAAGGACACATAGATAGCTGGTTCATGCCTTTGTAAGATCTTGACAGCTGTAATTCCTTGCTTGCTGGTTAGCCAACTCAGTAGGCTCCAAATTTGTCAGGACGGTGATGCCATGCTAGTAACCCATACCTGTCCCCTAGGTCACACCACTCCTGTACTTGGCTGTTTGTTCATTTTCCACTTGACTTCAATGTATTAATTATAATATATACTGTAGAGCTTTACAGATCAGGATGTACCTAACCAGAACCAGATTGTTCAACAAGAGCACAGCTGTACCTTGGCACTGTTTGAAGAGTTTTAGGTGCTATGCTGATCCATTTTTAGAAAGTCCTCTACATTCACAGGAGAAACTCTAGGACGTTTATTTTTAAATGGAAACTGAAAGCTTGTCTTTTAGATGTACATTTTTAACTGGAGATATTTGATATTCATATTTGGAAAGCTCTCTACAATACCAGGGCTGGATGAACACTTTAAAAAACGCATTTGTTTTGATTAATTAGAGATTAACCCTGCAGAGCAGCAGCCGGGGTGAGTCTGACATCAATGAATCTCTAATTAATCAAAACAAACACATTTTTTGGCATGGCAGCTACCTCTGCTCCACCCACCTGTCACTCAACGCTCGTTGCCATGGACGCCAATTGACAAGAAACCCAGATCACCTGGGGGCAATTACCATCTCGCCACTCCAGGTGATTCAGGGAAATTTAAGAGCTGCTTGGATTTGGGACTCTGATTACAGAGTTGCTTGGGACTCTGATTACAGAGTTTGACTTGAATCTCCAAAGCTGGTTTCCTTGTGGTTTTTGAAGCCGCAAATGTCTTGTAGTTTTCCTGTCTCGACTTTGGCTTGTTCCCTTGACCATCGGCCCCCTTGCTTTGTTACCTTCATACCCTTGTGTGACCCAGATCAACCGACCTTGTCTTATCTTCCCCAGCATTTCGGGCCTACTTAACCTTTCCACTTGGAGTTTCTGCCTCTTTCCCACCTGATTGGCACGCCTGAAGCTCTGAGACCGCTGCATGGCTGCCTTGCTGTGCAGCTCCATCCCTGCCTGCCTGGCTGTTGAGCTGCGAACTCAGCTTGGAAACCCTGCCTTCTACACCACCATCCCACCTGCCTGTGTGCAGCACTGCACTTGAAATCTCCATCTGAGGTCGCTGCCCATAGTTTGCCTGAATCTCAACTGCCTCTCGCCCAGCAGGTGGGTTCCTCCTACGACTCCTGGTCCACTGTTAGTGCCACTTGTCATTACAAATTTCGTGCTGAAATGTAGAAAGAGAAAATGCACTCTTTCCACATGAACACAGCATCATGGCTACAGATGAAGCCTACAACATGAAGAAGGCTCCATAGCATTATTTTCCCAATTTTCAGCATGGAATTAACCTCTTCTACATTGATGCAGATGTAGAAGAGCCCATGTACTTAGCAGGTCAAAGAAGTGATGCCGCCCTTCCCCAGAAATACAGACTGTGTAAAACTCTGCTATGGCAAAGCACCAGGTTCTTTTCAGAACGGTGCTGTGCAAGCTCCGACCCTACAGGTGACCGGGATTGAGTCCCAGCAGCAGCAATGAGCTATGCCCCTCAAACAGTTCCCAGCACTGCATTCGGACAGTTTTGCACAAAGTCTTTACTCTCGCAGGCCGCTGATGATTTTGATTCAGGTGACTTGGTGTCCGCAGGATTCATGTACCTGGTGGGCTCATCGAAGAACATGACAGGCGGGTTGTTGACCAGCTCTAGTGCGATGGCCAGGCGCTTGCACTGCCCACCGGACAGGGAGATGGTGCGGGTATGAGCGCACTCCTGCAGCCCCAGGGCCGTCAAGATCTCATTCACCTGTTGGCAAACAGACACATCCTCACTGCCAGACCCAGACCTCCCCAAACACACGGTGCCACAGCTGGAGAAGAGCTGGCCAGCTCCTGATGTGCCCCATTCATCTTCACAAGGCAGTTTTCAAGGGACTCAAATGCCTGTTTGCACATCACTCACAAATGATGCTTTATAAGACAACCACAGATGGGATAGATAAAAACAAATGAGAAATCTGAGATGTAAAGACATTGAAAGTCAACTTTTTGTGGGAGACAGCTAAGCTACAAAGCCACATACAGCATTCATAAAACTACATTCTCTTCCAGTTCTTGGCTGACAGGAGGATTGACAGTCAGCTGTCTTTAAACCTTTCAAAATACTGATTCAGATACTATTTAATGGTTTTCACTATTATCATCTTCAGGAGCTTTTATCAATCCATTTCTGGATATAGGGCTCTGACCAAATTCTCCCTAGAACGTCTCGTCTTTTTCTCTTTTAATCTCTTTCTGCTATGCAACAGGTCTTCTGCATGGCTGTTTCTACTCAGTGGGGCTTAGATCAGCATGGCCTTGGTCCAACAATAATCCACTCTTTCCTGCCATGTGTCCACCTGGCATCATATAGGTTGTTATAATGTTGTTCTTACCAGCTCTTTTTTCACTTCCATGGTCTCGTTTAGCTTCAAGTTGACTGAAACCTTCAAAACAAAAATACCATGATGCATGAAAATCTATGGAGGTCAACCTCAACCATTCTACACAATCATACTGTGGCATGCTGTGGGCCTTTCCTCAGAGAGTATATTAAAACACATTAAGTAAGGCATCTTTCCAAAACTGAGCGTTGGTTCATTGTTTCTCAAGTTCTCACAAAAAAGTAACAATTCTTACAACTAGAGGGCTGTGAAATGTGAAAGCACATTTAAAAAGCAGTTCCAAAGTTCTCCAATACTGCTAATACAATAGCAGTAGTGTTTGATTGTGTGTGTCCTATACATTTGCCTGCAAAGAATGAAGCATAAATAATAAACAAAACAACCATAAATATTGCAACTTGGCTTTGTGAGTATACATAGTAGGGACGATACAAAGATGCAAGAGAGGCAATCACTGTTAGTTCTAATGACTGTAGTCATTGCAAGGAGCCATGGTGTGTGCATGAACAAATCATGTATCATTCTGCAAAGTGTTTAAACCCCCACAGTATTACAAAAAGTATTACAACTTTGCTCTTGTTTTTTTGCCCTGGGCTGGCTTGCATACGAGCCCTTGATGTGAGCCCTCACCATCATGGATTCTCCAACAGTGAGCCCTTACCATCATGGATTCTTCCACAGGAAGCCTTTACCATCATGGCTTCCAGTGGAGTGAGCCCCTACCATCATGGCGTCACACACAGGGAGCCCTTACCATCATGGCGTCCCACACAGGGAGCCCTTACCATCATGGCGTCCCACACAGGGAGCCCTTACCATCATGGCTTCCCACGCAATGAGCCCTTACCATCATGGCTTCCTACTCAGTGAGCCCTTACCATCATGGCTTACAGGGGAGTGAGCCCCTACCATCATGGCTTCCTATGAATTGAGCCCTTACCATCATGGCCCAAGTGTGAGCCCTTACCATCATGGCGTCCCACACAGTGAGCCCTTACCATCATGGCTTCCCACGTAGTGAGCCCTTACCATCATGGCTTCCCGTGCAGTGAGATGCGGCAGCAGCATGTCATCCTGCATGATGTAACAGGACATCTTTCTGAAGGTGCGTAGGTCTCGCTGCTTCCCATTGACCAGGATCTGACCCTTCATTCCCGTTTCCCTGCAGCAGATGGGGAACACGTTAGTAGAGGAAAGGATGTGCTTTTTAGTTCTAACACAAAAGACAAGACATACCTGTAGGAATGGTTAAATTCCAGAAGAGGCAACACAGCCTATCTATCCTGTTGAGTAGTAAGAAGCAAATGGATCCAATCTCATCTGGCAGCTTCTTGAAAGAAGCAATTTGCCAAAATGGCTGTGTAGCACATTTTCATATTGCTGCATTCATGGGCATTTGCCATTGACTCTCATTCTACTTTTATTTACTAATCCATACTCCATATTTTGTCTTACTATTCCATACTCCATATTGCACATTTTCACTGCCCCAAAACAAATACACCTTTTGATTCCAAAGAAAATGGCCTCTGGTTTGTTAGAAAAAGCCATTTCCACTGTAGGGTTCAGTTGTGTAACAGTGAGCTGGGCTGGAACACCGGGAAAACCCGGAGGTGGCCTACAGGATCTGGATTGGGCACTCCAGTGTTTCTCTCATGCAGTTGCAGCCTCCCTCCTTCACCTCTCTCACCTGTATCCAGCCAGGATGTTCATGAAGGTGGACTTGCCAGCTCCTGAGGGGCCCATGATGCCAATGAGCTCCCGGCTGCAGAACTTTCCCGACAGGCATTTCAGCAGAGCCTTGTAACCTGTGGGCAATGAGAGAGAGAGAGAGAGATGTATAGTACTAGAAGATAAGCAGACTTTTGAAGAACACAAATTTAGAATTTGCAAGCTCTAAAGTGGTATCTGTATTTTGTTTCTGAAGGCGGGCAACAGAGCAGAAAAAGCAGACACCGACCGAGAAACACCCATTTTTATGGCTCATTCATTCACTCCACCAGCCATGTTAGGCCACTTCCGGAACACTCATCTTGTGGGGAGGCTGAAAATAAATGCGAATAACGCTCTGTTCGATCTCTCACTTGGAGCCGTAAAGGTTTACACTGCATCTCTAATGTGAAAAATCAGACACAGGTGCCTGCGTGCGAGTGAAACAAAAAGAGCTTTTCCATTTTGAAGCAGGAACACCTAAAAGCACCCCTCTGGAGCTGAGCTTTGGGCTGTCCTAACAGAATATTCAAGCAACAGATACCGGGAGACGCTGTTCTCCCCCTGGTTCTCACTGAATATTAGAGAGTTTTTGGCTCCGGCAGTGTCCTCTTATTGATCTGCTCGGCCCGGGAAAGCATGAGAGACGCAGCGGAAGAGAGACTGGGGAGTGAGAGGAAAATTAAGGGGAGGCAGGAGAAAGAGAAGACTGGAAATAGGGAATTAATTTATGGAGGAGCCTGAGGACTGGCAACCTTCCAGACCAGGAAACTCAAGCTCAGCTCCCGGAGGGCCTGGTGTCTTCTGGGTTGTTCCCCACCCAAACTCTCAGTTACATAACCGGTCGATTTATTTTAACAAGCCACATAACTGGAATACTCCTTACCAGGCTCCTCTGAAGTCTTTGATGGGTAGATGGACCTTAAGACATTAAGAAAAACCGTATATATATTGAACAAAGAATTTCTGTTAATTGCTTTGTTAATTGCAAAGGCTAAAACATAAAGCCTGACACCAGAACAAGAAACTGGTGACAGCTGTTTCCCAACCAATATGTCCCTTGAATTTAAAATATTTTTCAAGAGAAACCTGAGTTTTGGCTGTTACAAGCTGATTTTTTTAAGTGACGAAAGCTTGACCTTCAGCTTAACGTCACCAACGTCTGCATAACTGATACAAAGCAATGCAAGAGGATGTGCAGGGTTTAACCTTGGGTAAAAACAATTAATATCTCCATTCTAGTCCTGCATGGAAACACTGTGTTAATACTGACTAGTATAAAACATTCTGTTCCAGTCCTCTTCTGTCCCTGTACTCAACTCAAGATACATGATGCACATTTGGTCATGGTGTTAACATTGCTTTCCTTTCTTCCAGCAGTGTCTTACAAAATTTACTTCCCCAATTGATGCAAGAGCTCCTAGCAATATGAACGCCCGCGTGAGATTAATGCCTCCTGCCAGTGTCCTACAGTATAAAACTCGAGAAAAGACATTTCAGTGCACTGTCTTACTCAGCTCAGATCCCTTCTCTAAGTCTCTGGCCTCTTACTTGACCATACTATCTCCCTCTCTCTCCTAGTCCCCCAGCTATAACCACTGGTTCACAATAAAAATAATTTTCAAATTGCACTCAATTTAATAATGAAATCCTACCATATTGTAATGTATTCTGGACCACAAATTAAATACAAGTTAATCACAACATATGATTTTCTGAAACAAAATCCTGAACTGCAGCATATCGGTAAGAGTCTACCAGACAATTTACATTCCTCCTCATGCCTGTAACCTTTCTGTGTCAATGCCCTTCAGACTAAGCCCCTCCTCAAAGCACAGCTTTGGTTGGTTGAGCTCCTAGATTGATTGACAGGGAAATAGTCCATTAAGGCCTCACAGATGAAGAAAAAGTTCCTGTTTTAGGCAGGGTTTGATTTCATGCTCTGCACAAGGTCATCTGCATCACAGCTGTCACCATCAGCTTCAGGGTAAAACCAGGCCCACATATTCAGCTCTCAGGGGATTGTGATGCTCATGACATTAGATAAGCCCTCACACATACAGTACACTACATGCCACAAACACATAGGCCTATCAATAAAACACATGTACCAGTACAAAAGTGCTCATACAAGTGCACACATGCATGCAGCTCCCTTTGAAAATATTCCCAATCAAATTTTACATTTTAAATCTATACAAGGGGAAAAAAACGTTTAGAAGGAAAACACATGGCTCAAGGTGAGAAAACACCTCCTCCAAAAAACCCTACAGCTACTCATTTGAAATTCTACATATGCTCGACGTTCCTCTCTTCAAAGTTTCAAAAGAAGCCTACGCCCACTGAAAACAACAGATCATCTCTCCACGGCCTCCCGCTGATCTCTTGATCTTCGTCTGGTACATCTCCGATCCAGCCCTGGATCAGCTCAGCAATCTGCTCGTGAGCGCTGGGCTGGCTCTGTTCTGTGAAGGGTCTACCAGGCTCCGTCACTGTCGGCTTGTGCTTGGCTATCTAGCATTCAAGCTGCTAAATCCCTTTCCTGACTTCAGCGCACTTGCTCTTGTTTCCCTTTCTGGCTTTGCTCCCTGTAGGCTGTAGTCTGCCACTGGAAACGCTCATTATAGAATCTCTCTTCACTGGGAGTGCCGAGATCTGTTTCACACTAAGGTGCAAATTGCTGCTAATTCATAAAATTGCTCAAATTATTTTATGGCAGGAAGGCCATGCAAGTTCCAGAGTGGGATTTTTAATCCTAGTGGGCACACTCCAGTTTTGCACAGAGCTTCTTAATTACGGATTTTTTTAAGGGAATCATGTAACCTTGCATCAATTTACTTGTCTGGCTCTTGGCTACCATGCTACATGTATTCGATTGAATTAAGTCCCCAGGGTCCTGAGACGTGTTTTAAAAGCCAGCTGGTTTTCCATAACAAGGTCACATTTAGGGCATTTTCTTAAATGTGCTTGCTTAAACCTGTATTTTGGAAAATTAGGAATAAAAGTGCTTTAGAGTTAAAAGTGTTTATTTTAGCTGTAATAATTTATGATGCAATGTATATTAATGGGCGGCATGGAAGCAATTTGGTTAGTATTGCATCCTCACAGCTCTGGGGTTCTAGGTTCAATTCTGGACCTGGAGTACTGTCTGCATGGAGTTTGCATGTTCTCCCCATGTTTATGTAGGTTTCCTCTGGGTGCTCCAGTTTCCTCAAACAGTCCAAAGATGGGATACTAGGTTATATACTGTATAGTAACTAGGGTACAGTATATATAGTATATATACACTGCACATACAGTATATAACTAGGTTAATTGGCTTCTTGGAAAACTGGTCCTGCTGTGAATGCGTGCCCTTGCTTGCGTCTCTATGTGCCATCCAGGGTGGGCTAAGGCTAACTTCGATGAAACATTTAGAAAATGGATCGAAAGGCGTATATTAATAGAGTGGAGGTTTTTCACCTTTGGAGCAGTGGAGTTTTGAAAGTTTTAACTGTCCCTTAATGGTTATTCTCCGAATGAAATAAATGAAAACCCATCCAGATTAGGTTCCCAGTATGTGCTGCAACAGGACACTGTGGTCCCACATGCTACCAGCAGGGGCTTTCACTGTCGAAATTTGTTTTCATTCACGCATATTGACATTGTGAATTTTTTGCAGCTGTAAGTGATAACGTTTCTTTTCGTGCTACATATCCTACTCAATTATGAAAATCAAGCCCAAGAAATACACTACATTCCAAATCGAAGGAAAAAAACAAGACCAACACCACAACTGTCTTAAATTCAGCACAATGTACATATGAATAACACAGGGTGTAGGCTGCTATATTAGGTATACAGTGCATGTATATAAATCTAGTGTTTGTGCAAGAGAGCTCTCAAACTCTGACTCAGACAGGGAGTCCTGCTGAGGTATTATTCAATGCTGATGGTTTCCTTTCAGGCTTAACTGCAATGCAGTTGGATTGTATTATCATCGACTCAGAAGAGCTATACAGCATGGTCCAGTGTTCAAGACTGAGGTGTTGAAAACATACATGTTAAATAGAAATATCCATTATTGAAGGAAGACAGTGAGAGTTCGTTTCTTGTTAGTTACAGAACTGATATTGTTTACTGATTAAGCGTTTTGCTCCAAAGCTCCATGCAACAGTGAAATCAAACTCAAATCAAAATTAATATTTTCCTCACTCATGGACGTTGCGTTGAAAAATCAGTTGCATTTTATTTTAACAGAGTTAAAATGGGTGAAATTTGGAAGCTATGCAAAAAAACCTTTGTAGTCCCCCTACAGATCCACTAGGTCTGCTCTCAGACTAACTTTCCACTCCATTTCCAAGTAGTGGTGAAGTAATCAGGACGTCTGTTTCTGCTTCTCCAGATCACGCCCGGATGCACCAGGATCACCCTTGATCTGATGGCCTGTGTCCCAGCCCTCTCCCTGTCACGGCTTGTGGTCACAAGGGCTCTTACACAACACCCTCGGTGTGTCACATATCCGACATCCCACCTGCCTGTATGCTGATCCTGATCTGATTTATTCTACTGACAGAAAACATGAGTCACCTTCACCCTCAGCTAGAGCCCAGTTCATTCCTCACTCACCCAGAGTGACGTTAGCTCCCTTGACCAGCTGGACCAAAATCAAACCTTTAATCGGCCACAGCCACTGCCACCGTCGCCAATCTCAGGCCTCCAACCTGCTTTTTACCTGTCTAGGCAGGAGTACCAGACCTCAGGCAAGTAAAAGCTGTAATCCAATACTGAGTGATTTTATTTCAAATCATTATAATTACTGCTACAGTAGGTGACGCAGTGGTGTCTGAGATAGGGGAGCACTACAGCCTCACAATCTGTCAGTCCTGGATGTGGTTCTGGACTGGTGTACATTCAGTGTGGAGCTTGCATGTTCTAACCACAGTTGCTAGGTTATTTGTGGTCTCTGCAGCTTGTGTGGGAGTCCATCACAGTGCAGGCTGGCCTTATACATTGTCTATCAGTTTGGGATTGAATGGATTGATTATTACTATTACTATTAACATTTGCATATTCGATTTGCATATATGTTTTTGTTTCCAACTGTGGAGTGCTATGCCCTTGTTTGCAAGTTACGGAAAACAAAAACTCAGAATTGCAGCAAAACAACAAAACAGGAAAACAAAACAAGTTAATCTCTTCTAATAGGAAGCAGAACTGAACATACCCTGCTGTTTTCAAAGGCTGTTTTCTTGTCTGTCTGTGAATTCATTTATTTATGTTTTCCTGCATGTTGCAAAGGACTGCTCCCTGTCAACCAAAATATATTCCCAGAGGAATAATCTTTATTTTATGCCTTGGTAGCTAACATACGCCATTTCAGCACTTTCGCGTAAGTGGAAACTCGACTGGGAGACAGAGGCAGTCAGGACGGAGAACAGATGCTGATATTTTTTTACCATTACAATCTAAAAGCACAAAAACTACAGTACCACAAAGAGAAATATTCTTCACTGTGGTGGGAGATGAGTAGCTCCCGTCCACCACTTTGAGCATGTGGAGTCCCCTTTAACTCCCCGAAATATCTGCAACACTACAGACACGGTTACATATGGAAATCCAACATAATAACAAAAACATAATCAGCACCTAGTAGACGTTTGTAATGTACACATCGCAACTTATGTGACATTCTTATTCATTAGCTTAACGAATAGGTACTGCAGTACCTACAGTATGTGTGAGTGTACAATGTCTACAGTATATTAGTGAAGTGGCTGGTGGTGACTCACTGGATTCAAAGTTAGGATGTCAGATTAGGGAGATGAGACTTTTAGCCTCAAATGCGATTCCTCACCATATTTATGTTTTCCACGGACCCATCAGAGTAGCTTCATAGATCTCCAGGGATCCACGGATCATAGTTTGGGAACTCCTGGGTTGGCAGTACGGGTGGCAGATCTGAAACGATCTCTCAGATGGACCAGTCTGGTGTGTCGGTCCTGCTCTGGTGTGGTCACTCAATGGTGACCAGATCTTGGACGGTCATCTGCCCTGCCGGTCTGCTGTAACCTTCTCTGCAGTCGGGACACTCCATAGTGCCTGCAGCATGCCAATGGCCCTCTCCCTTGCTTCTGGTGACATTCGAGGCATTATGGAATGCACAGAAAAATGATTAAGTGTGGCCTTTTTCTTGCAGTGACCTAAGCTTTAAATTAAGGACTTTTTAAAGGTGACCTGATCAGGCATTATTCCACCTGGACCTGGTTGGGTAAAAGTGCACCTAACGAGCTTTCATGTGATTGGAAAGTTGCAATGCCTCACTGCACAAGCTGTATTGCTGGTCAGAGGGCTTAAAACAAACTGACAACTTTTTGCAGAAGTACATAAGCTATAATGATAGTATTCTCATTCCAGAAAATGTTGCGTTTCTTTTTTCCATCGGTATATATAATTAAAATGTATGATCTTTATATCAATTGATAAAAGCAGTTAGTAGTAAAACACAGACATTGTGTTTAAATAGACCACAAACTGGAGCCAAATCATGTCAGCTTAAGAGCTTTAACTGGGTGAGATGTTTGGCAATAGCTCAGTAACAACTCTATTTAGGTTTCTACAGCTCTAAATCACTGGTTGCAGGTTTGCAAATCTCAGTTCACAGGCTGCAGGGGACTCCAGCCCTCACGAGGGCACACTCTTCTGCAGTGGTCACAGAAAACTCTTTTCCTGGAAATGTTAACAAGGAAGCCCAAGGGAAAGACTGGCATCTCTCCAGAAAACCTTAAAACGTGTTTCTTCAAACACATCACCTCCTCTGCATCATCCTTAAAAATCAGGACCTACTCTAAATACGTTTGATCTGGTGGTGCACTCAAAGGTTTATTATTATA